CCCGCTACTAGGAAATTTTAAAGGACACCCTGACTGCTTGCAGTTTCTGTTCGACAGCCCTGGGCAAAGGGGCAACCTAACTGGTGTCCTTAAGGCAGAGGGAGGTATGGTGGCTCAAAGAGCAGCATTCAACACATATTTAAGGCTTTTTAAGTGCCCACTGTGTTTTCAGCGCTGTCCTGTATTAAATACGGGGTGATGGGGGCAGAGGAGTGGTGCTTTTATATAAGTTAATTGGTGAAGAACTCAGATATGATGACCTTTGAGGAGAACCAGAGTAGAGAAGCAAGCCACGATTTGGGGAAGAGCACCCCAGATGGGGTGGGAAGGAGCCCCACAAGCAGAGAGCAAAGTCCAAGCAAACAAGATGAAGGAGGTGGCGGGGCAAGGGTCCTGACTTGGAGTTGGGATTTCACCCTGAGTGCAAAGGTCAGCCACTGTACGGTTGCAGGGAGATGAACCACGCATGACCTGACCTACCGTTCACGGGTCGCTCTGGAGATGGCCAGAGCACAGAGAAGGTGGTGTGGGGTAGCAATGCCATCCGGACTCGTTAGACAGTTGGATCTGGGATGTGTTTTGAAGATAGAATTGGCAAGATTTTGTGGGCTGTAAGAAAGAGAAAGTTCCAGGATGAAGTCAACACTGGCTGGAAGGACTCCAGGAGAGGTAGAGCTTTGGGCTGAAAAACTGGGAGTTTAGTTTTATATAGTTAAGTCCAAGATACTTGGGCCTCCATGTGGATGACAGGCGGATGGGGGTGAGGGGGGGCAACAACAGAGAGCAGAGAGGTAGCTAGGGGCAGGTGAGGCCTCGCAGGCATCCGATAAATCACCTTTCACCTGCAAGTGGCATCTGCCAGTGAAGGACTTTAATCAGGAGGCAAGGGAGCAGAGTCCAGTTTTGTTTTTGTTTTTGTTTTTTAAGATTTTATGTATTGGGGGGGGGCGCCTGGGTGGCTCAGTCGTTAAGCATCTGCCTTCAGTTCAGGTCATGGTCCCAGGGTCCTGGGATCGAGCCCCGCATCGGGCTCCCTGCTCTGCGGGAAGCCTGCTTCTCCCTCTCCCTCTCCCCCTGCTTGTGTTCCCTCTCTCGCTGTGTCTCTCTCTGTCAAATAAATAAATAAAATCTTAAAAATAAAAAAAAAAAGATTTTATGTATTTGGGATGCCTGGGGGTGGGGCTCAGTCAGTGAAGCATCTGCCTTTGGCTCAGGGCATGATCCTGGGGTCCTGGGATTGAGCCCCGTATGGGGCTCCTTGCCCAGCAGGGAGCCTGCTTCTCCCTCTGCCTGCCACTCCCCCTGCTTGTGCTCTCTCTCACACAAATAAATACATTAAAAAAAGATTTTATTTATTTGAGAGACAGAGTGAGTAAGAGAGAGCACAGGAGCAGGTGCAGAGGGAGAAGCAGGCTTCCTGCCGAGCAGGGAGCCAGACTCGGGGCTCGATCCCAGGACCCTGGGACCATGACCCGAGCGGAAGGCAGATGCTTCACCGACGGAGCCCCCCAGGCGTCCCCAGAGTCCTGTTTAAAACAGCGTGAGGGTGAGCCTGTGATGAGAGGCCAGGTGGGAAGTGGTTGCAATAGCTGCAGAGGAAAGAGAAACAGGAAAGTGGCTGGGGGGGTGGTGAAGAAATGGCAGAGTAGGAGAGCAGGGGCAGGTGACAAACAGCATCCACAAGCCTGGGGGGCCTGAAGGAGGCTGCCAAACAGCCAGCCGTGCCACACCTTCCCGTGTTCCCATGGAAACTGGAAATTAAATTTTCATGGGAAGTTTCAATAAAAACGATTTGTCAAACGTGTGGCCAAAGAACACCCATCAGGTCTATCAATTCCTTATCTCGATCCCCACAGGGTAGTTCTCCAGTGCTTTCCAGGGAAGCCTGTTTTCTTTAATGCAGTTACCTGGACCCACGGGGCGATTCTGATTCAGGAAACCAAGTTCCTGCCAAAAGCAGTTACGTTGCAGTATGTCTGTGTTCCCCTAGAACCAAAAGAAGCTAATTGTTGATTAAACATAAGCCGTATGTGGCTCCAGAAAACTCTAATGCCCAGGTGATGCTGAATGCCCTCCCGGAGAATCAATGTGTCCTACTTTGTTTTGCTCCTGAGCCAAGGTCCTCGAAGGGACTGTCCATACTCCCCTGGACACCACCCCTCTGCTGTGGCCTGGGAGAGTGATGGGGCATCAGTGGGGCTCTTCTCTCCCTTGCAGAATTCCAGAGGTTACTGCTGAAAGGGAGGCGGCCTAGCCACCTTGCTTTCTTTCTACTTTCTACTTCCTTTCCTTTTTTTTTTTTTTTTTTTAAGATTTTATTTATTTGACAGAGAGAGAGACAGCGAGAGAGGGAACACAAGCAGGGGGAGTGGGAGAGGGAGAAGCAGGCTTCCCGCCGAGCAGGGAGCCCGACGCGGGGCTCGATCCCAGGACCCCGGGACCATGACCTGAGCCGAGAGCAGATGCTTAACGACTGAGCCACCCAGGCGCCCCTCTACTTCCTTTTCTATACAAGTGGCAGAAGTGGCCAGAGCAGGCCCACATTCTGACACCTTCCTTTCTGTCTCTTACCTCATGACCATGGGGTAAGAACTGTCATCTGGGTTTGGGCCAAGCCAGCCCACCCTCAGCCCTTTGGTCAACCTCAGCTCACCAGCATTCTTAGCATTAGAATTTGAAACACAAGCTGGCTTCACAATAAATTATTGCATGCTTTGCTGTCCAGTTACCATAGCTTTGTGATGCATTGCCCTCCGAAACCTCAAGGGAAGGAGGAACTGTGGTGTAAAGCAAGATTCAGATGTTCCTGGGACCCCTCACCCAAAACCACCAAAACCACCCCATAATTTTTAACACTCTTCACCCAGTACTTTTTCTGTAGCCTACCAGGTTGTTTCGTAAAAATTTTATCTATTTTCTTCAATAAAGCATGTACACATTCATGGGGGTGGGGGGAGGGGCAGAGGGAGAGAATCCCTAGGCTGACTTTCCACTGAGCGCAGACCCCACCTGGACTGATCCCACCACCCATGAGGTCACAACCTGAGCAGAAACCAAGAGTCCCTCATTTAACCAACTGAGCCCCCCAGGCGCCCCTAGCCTATCAGTTTTTATGTAATTTTAAAATCTAAATATACGAACTATTCTTTTCTTCAATCAGTTTCTCACAAATCCAACTAGAAAGGTTGAGAGTAAAAAAACAAATCTTCCTAAGACTTTTTTGCCAGTGAGGGTGTCATAATATTGCATAATGTGTTTTATGTAATGAATGTCAGCTTGCGGAAAGCAAGGCGCTTACTCAGCTGGGAGATGGATCGTGTTCTCATTCAACAGATGCCGGGGCGCCTGCTATGTGCAGGACAGCGTCACAGCGGGGCAGAACACAACTCTCTCACACACTTTCAGGGCCCGGATGGGGCTGAAAAGGCCGTCCTGGGGTTCTGCAGCTGGCACCCGACATTCCAGAAGCTTTGGTGGGCGGCCATGGCCCCTCAATGGCAGACGCCCATCTGCAGCCCCTCTTCTGGGTTGGGGAAGGAGTCACGGACTTAACCACCACAGAGGCTTTGCTCTTTGCAGTCCCTGGAAAGGAGCCCCTGGGAATACAGCTGAGCTCTCCTGGGACAGCAGGCCTGTGGCCCATGCCAGCCCTGGGAGCAAACCCAGCACTTACTACCCAGGACGGTCGATTCAGAACCTTTCACGAATGCTGAATCCAGTGAAGATTTAGTAACAAATTCTCCAAACTGTCCCCAGAGACTGCCAAGATGTCTTTAGCCAAAGAGAGGCTCACAAAGGATGATCTTGAATCTAATCTGAATTCCCTTATTTTTTTGTTTTTTTAGTAATTTCTACACCCAAGATGGGGCTCGAACTTACAACCCCGATATCAAGAGTCACATTCTCTTCCGACTGAGCCAGCCAGGTGCCCCTATGTTCCCTTTTTAAATTAATAAAACTCACATAGCTTTTTTTTTTTTTTTTTAAGATTTATTTATTTATTTCAGAGAGAGAGTGTGCACCAGCAAGGGGAGGGACAGAGGGAAAGAGAATCCTGAAGCAGATTCCCCGCTGAGCTGGGAGCCCTACCCACCCCGGGGGCTCGATCCCCAACCCAGGATCATGACTTGAGCCGATATCAAGAGTCGGACACTTAGGGACGCCTGGGTGGCTCAGTTGGTTAAGCGGCTGCCTTCAGCCCGGGTCATGATCCCAGGGTCCTGGGATTGAGTCCCACATTGGGCACCTTGCTCTGCGGGGAGCCTGCTTCTCCCTCTCTCTCCCTCTGCTTGTGCTCTGTCAAATAAATAAAATCTTAAAAAAAAAAAAAAAAAAAGAGTCAGACACTTAACTGACTGAGCTACCCAGGTACCCCAAACTCACATATCTTTGATAAAAATCATTCTAATGACATTAGAATTGCCGTGATTGAGACCATAGTTTCACCAAGTGTGGTCCAGGAACCCTGGGGGCCCCCCAAAACCCTCTGTCAGCAAAGGTCAGCAAAGGTCAGCAAAGGTCCGGCAGCTTGGAGAAATGTCATGGCCGCAGGCTACTGAGAAGGTAACTGTTCTGAAGAAGGCGATACAGGGCCCTGGGGTCTGGAAGATTGAGTTAGATGTCCCTAGACTGTTGGAAGGTGTACAACTTAACAAGGGAGAGAGAAGTGGTCCCGTTCAGTAGAGTGCGCAGAGTGTGGGGAAATGGTGGAAAGCAGTGGGCCCAGACACAGAAGAAGCCAGCCTGAGCAGCCTGGGCGCTCACGGACTGCCCCTGGAGCTGTCCTGCGTGCCATTTACGCACCCGCCTGGTGGGGAGAAGCAGAGACCTTTGGAGATGGGTTTGCTGTGGGGGATAGCCTGGCCCGGGCCACAGGAACCCGGATGTCAGTCCCTCAGCTCCTTCCTGGAGCTCACGCTCCCTGCTTCACCACCTCTGGGCAGAGACCGTGCTTCATGGGCACACATACCTTTCAAAACACGATACACAGTACTGGGGACAGCAGTGATGCTCGGGATTATAGGAATTAGTAAACTGTGTCACTGAAGCTCAGCTTTGCAACTTTAAAAAGTATTCAGAAGATAAAAGGATAGATGTCATCTGAGAGAAATAAAGGAACGCTACCCGGCTGCTCCTGGGTTCCAGCGTTGAATATTGCGAGTCACCTTCCAGTGACCCTGCGCACAGCACCCACAGCGTCCAGCGAGGCCGGCTTCTTGTGCCTGCGTACCCCAGACCTCCCAGACAAGTGCTTCAGTCCCTCCCTTCTGCCCAGAGAAGGATTGTAAACATAGTCTATGGGCTCTGTTTCATTTTGTTTATTCTGTTTATGAAACTGTAACCGGCTGTAGGATTGCCTAGGGCCCAAGTCACAAATAAACTGTCAAACAAAATAAACATAAAACAGCACGGACAGAGATGTGGCCAAACCCATATCGCATGCTGCGATTTGAGGCCAGTAGAAAGCCAAAGTACCCTCCCCTCTCCAGATAATCTCCGACTTAACCTGATCAGCTCTGACGCCTCCTCCCACCAGGGCTGGCCCTGAATTCCAGAAACACGGATCCTCTGGGGAAAACGGCTAAGTGGACCACAGGGAGGTCCTGGCGCCTCGATCTGCTGGTGTGTGTCTGTGTAGCCAATGATCTGTGGGGGGAGGGGGCTTAAGTGAGCCCTGGCTCAAATTCTTTGTAGAGGCAGCCACCTTGCCCCTGTCAAATCAACCTGTAAATTATGGTGAAAAGGACCAGCGCCTGAAACTGGTCCTCTCTCACCTGCACCTGGCGGGGCCTGGTGGGGTGCTCAGCCCTCATCGGGGCGAGGGCAGTCGTGTGCTGACCCCGTGATCAGCCGGCCTCCAAGATCAACATGAAGCCACCGCCGGCTGCCCTGTGCCTCTGGGAAGCCTCAGCCTGTCCCACACGTCCAAGCGCACCTTCCTGCTCGGGCTGTTGCAAGCCCTGCGCCGCCCCACCCCAGTCTGGCCAAAAGGATGCTGTAACACAGACGAATCCGTCTGTAGCTCAAAACCCTCCACAGGCTCCTCCACCGAGAGCACAAAGGCAGGGTCCTCACCATGGTGGTGGAGCCAGCCCGCACACTCGCTTTCCTCCACCCCGCTCACGCTTTACTTGCCCTCCGTACCGTGTGCTTTGCTGCTCTGGTTGACTCGTTTCTCGTGGGAATGGAAGCTCATCGAGGACAAGCGTTTGTTCACTGCTGTGTCCCCAGCACCTAGGACATGGCCACAGAGTGTCTGTGAAGGGAAATGCCACTTTATCCCTTAACAATAGACTTTTTTCTCCAGTTCTTTCATTTTCTGCAACTGTTTGAGGGCCTCTCACCAATCCCCCCAAAAACTCACCCTCAGAAACTATCCCCACCTGCCCCTCTCACCCCTCCTCCCCTCTTTCCATCATCTTTACTCTGGGACCAGTAACAGCTCTGGGGGTCTTTCCCCACCCTTCTGGATCTGTCCTCCCTTCTTTTGACCTCTTTTTGTCCTTTCTCTTTTTGTTCTGCATTGCAGAACATCTGGGAGTGAGCTAGCAATCTCTGAGAACAGGGAGTTGGAAGTTCGGAGTGAACAAAAGCAAGGTTTTCTTCAGCAGCTGGTAGGAAAGGCAGGGATGTCTGGGAACACTTGCTTGTCCCTGCGTCTTGTTCCTATTACGCTGTGGCTGTCCAAATTCAATGTGGTTCATGGAATTTCTACAGAAGTACGTCCATCACTGATTTGCTGACGAGCCATAATAGCCATAGACCTCTAGGATCTAGGACCAGCCAGCTGGTGAATACTCTACGCCTTCACTGAAGGACACAGAGACCTTCGGGGGACAGTGTGTCCTGTCCAACCCCGAGAAATGGGGATGCTCTGCTGATGATTGCTGGCTGTGGATTACAGAGTGGAGATACAGCTGATCTGATCCCTGTCTACACCCCAGAAACGAGCAAGCAGAGGATCCTGTTGGCTACAAGGCACATTCAACTGAAAGTTGTCTGGGGGACCATATACAAAAAGTGAACGCCTTCTTCCTTCGAATATCTTATCGTTCACCTAACAAGTAACCCCTGGGGCCAGGAAGATAGCAAGCCAGTAACTTCCAGGAATAGGCTGTAAACTGGACATCCAAACATGGTCCCTCTTTTCTGGTAGCTGATCCCAGACAGCTTCTGAGCTCACATTGAGGGGTTAAGGAGGGACCCCAGTGCTCTGGCCAGTGACGACTCCCCCGTAGCTACCGAACCTGGACAGGCAAACCCCAGCTTGGACCAACAAAAACCCAAAAACCCAATGTAAACTTGCATCTAAAGAAAGGGGTTGGCTCATGATAAGGAATGAAGTGGGGGTTCCCACCGGCCATGACCGGATCCAGGGACGCAAACCAGGTTGTCCCAAGCCTCACCTGCAGCTTTTTCTTCTCTATCTGTGGGCCAACTTCTCTGCAGCGGTGGTTGGCTCTCTCCACATGGTGGGAAAGGGGCATAGGCAATCCATCCTTCTACTCCATGACCCCAAAGGCAAAGTGTCTTCTTCACCTTCAAACAGAAGCTCTGAGGAAGGACCTCATAGGCTGACTTTCTGTTCCTGGACCAATCATTGTAGGGATGAATGCAGCACTAGGAAGGCCTGGGGTCATGTGACCAGGGGAAGTCAGGATCCAAGGGTTGGGTTTTGCTGAGCAGAGGTGAACAACAGGCATCTTCTGTAATCATCACTGTGGTCAGCAGCCTCCAAGGAGACCCTCGATGACCCCTGCCCCATGGTATTCACACTCTTGGGCCGTCCCTGCCAAATGGGACCATGTCATGTGAGCAGCCCCACGGAGACGCCACGTGGTGAGGAGCTGAGCTCCTGCCAACAGCCAGGCAAAGGCATCACCTTGGAAACCCAGCCTCCAGCACTAGGAAAGCTTCAAATGACCGCAGCCCTGGCCAACGACCGGACCGCACCCTTGTGGAAGACTGAGCCTGAGCCACCTGGTCAACCACACCCAGCTTCCCGATCCTCAGAAAACCGTGTGACACAATGAACATTGGTTTACCTTGCCAAGTGTTGGGGTCATTTGTTCCGTATCAGTGGGTAGCAGATACGATCAACAGAACAGATGATGAATGAACTTGGCGTGTGCTCTCCAGAGCTCTGGGAGGTAATGGAATTTGGAGAGGAAGCAGCCCCTGCGCTTCGGGGTGCCCCCTGGACATCGGTCCAAAATCTCACACCCAGCATCTTGAGAAACACAGAGGTTACAGACAGTCACACACACATTTCTATACAGGTTTTTTGCTAGTAGAAATGACTTTTTATCCTTTCAAGAACAAAATCAGTGATTATAAAATCCCATACATATGATGACTGAAACCCAGCTAACAAGCAATATGAGAAGAAATGATTCCCTTTTTTTTTTTTTTTTGAAGATTTTATTTGACAGGGAGACAGCGAGAGAGGGAACACAAGCAGGGGGAGCGGGAGAGGGAGAAGCAGACTCCCCGCTGAGTAGGGAGCCCGATGAGGGGCTCGAACCCAGGACCCTGGGATCATGACCTGAGCCGAAGGCAGACGCTTAACGACTGAACCACCCAGGCAGCCCAAAGAAGAAATAAGTTCTTAAAAAAGATCTCTAGTTCAGAAACAAAATTTACCAAAACTCAAAGAAATGAATGAGTTTATTCTGACGTTCTACAAAGGAGTGTATCTTATAGAAGACATCCTAAGATTAGCCAAATACGTCATTGTGGAGCAGGCCATTCCAAGCTGTGAGACTTAGCCTCCAAGGAGGAGCTCACCGACACCATTGTGGGAGCAGCAATCACAGTGATCAACAGCCCAAGGGCTTCAAAGGCCAGGGTTAAGTGTAGAAGCAACCGTGCTTAAAAAAAGAAAAAAAGTTTAAAAGTTTAGTTGAGGGGCACCTGGGTGGCTCAGTTCTTAAGCGTCTGCCTTGGGCTCGGGTCATGGTCCCAGGACCACAGGAGCCCCATGTCGGGCTCCCTCCCCCACTCCCCCTGCTTGTGTTCTCTCTCTCGCTGTGTCTCTCTCTGTCGAATAAATAAAATCTTTAAAAAAATAAATAAGTAAAAGTTTAGTTGCTGCCGACCTGCCCAACTTGGGAAGAAGCAAATAATTACTTGCTCTGATATGAATAAGGAAACCTAAATATGAAAACTAAAAATGGCCCCAAAGATCAACTCCTGTCTCAGGTGCTAACATGTCATTCCTATTTAACAGACAAGGAGGACTTATCGGGAGCAGCGTGCCTGCAGCAGGAACTTGAGAGCCCAGGACCCCCACCACCCAAGGAACAAGAGGGGAGTCCCAGGGTAGGAGTGGGCGGATCTCTTCTTCTCCCCCTCCTCCCCACAGCGTGGGCTCCTGAGGAGCGCTTAGCTCACACACACACCCGCTATCAGGGTGTGAATGCAGAGAGACCTAAGACATGCCCTGACTCACACCCAGAGTTCACCCGGAGATCACCTCAGATGGTTATGGGAAGCCACGCCTAACTGTCCTGATGTACACAGAGTTCAGAGAGCTGAGGAAGGACAAATGAATAAGCAGAAGTTGAGAAGTACAGAAAGAATAAAGCTAGCCGGTAATGGAAGGCCTGAGGGCCGAGGATGGTCCAGTGAGCCAGCTCTCCTAGGCCTCATCTTTCTAGGGTCCAGGTCATGGGCACCTGAATGCTTAAACCAGAGCCCTAGTGTCCAGGGGGCACTGAAACTGGGCGGGGTTCAGAGTCACCTGAGGCCCTAGACACAGCCAACCTCCAGAGCAGCTGTTAAATGCATCTGAATAGGGGCGCCTGGGTAGTTCAGTCGGCGCCTGCCTTCAGCTCAGGTCCTGGTCCCAGGGTCCTGGGATCGAGCCCGACATCGGGCTCCCTGCTCAGCGGAAAGCCTGCTTCTCCCTCTCCCTCTGCCTGCCGCTCTGCCCACTTGTGCTCTCTCTCTGTCAAATAAAGAAATAAAATCTTCAAAAAAAAAATACATTTGAGTAAATGCATTGATAATGTGTTCTCCCACAATCTCATTTGCCTCGACATCCCAGGGATAAACTCCTACATATAAGTGACTGCCAGCTTCATGGGCCGTTCTCACGTATTTTATTGTATTTTATCGTTACGACAACCCCGTGGGAAACCCAGGGCTGCTATTAGCCTCACTTTGCAGATAATTATTATCCCCATTTTAATGATGAGAAAATTGAGGCTTGGAGAAGGCAGCAACTTGCTCAAGGTCATAGGCTGAGGACAGAAGCCAGTGTTCTTCTGCCAGAGGTGGGCCATCACCCTGCACTGCTTCCCACTGAAGCGCCAGTCAGACCACAGTAACAATTTTAGTGCAAGCAGTATTAGTAGGAGCATATCTTACGCTCTTCCCAAACACGTTCACATTTCTTAGAGGCTTTGAGTCACGAATCCTCTGGAGTGGATGATGAGGGAACAGGGATGAGGGTGGAGGGCTTGGTCACTTCCCATCAGGGCACACTGCACAAGCGTCGATAAGGTGCGAGAAACCACTCTCTCGGAAGTCACAGTCACGGGACTGGTGTGGGCAGAGCGAGGGCAGGGTAGAGCGAGCTGGAGGAGGGAAGGCAGTAAGTGGGTGGGGCAATTTAACCAGCGAAAGAAGGAACAGTGTGGGGGGGCTGGGGAGGAAGGACTGGTGGTGAAGGAAGGTGGTAGGAGCACAGGAGAAGCAAAGGAAGTGAGCTCAGTTGTGTGAACCAGGGGCAGCCCTGCGCCTAGGGGCTGCTCTCTCCACAAACAAGAACGAACCTCTGCAGAAACACCAGCTGCTGGAGGGCTGGGCACCCGTCATCGGGACCCTGAGCTTAAAAACTGTCCCACACTTTCCTCGTTTCAGCCCTGAGGCAGGGGAAGGGTTCACACAGGCAGCTACTTCTATAATACCTAAGGAATAATGGTGGAGTGCGGCCCAGAAACCAGTCAGACCGGCTCTGGGGCGGTGCCATAACTTCTCAGCCGGCTGCTCTTGACTTTTGAGTCTGTCTCCTCATCTGTAAGACAGACATGAAGGTACTTCAGAATCGTGGCTATGAGGGTATCTGATACGGGGGCACGCGGGTGGCCCAGTCTGCTACTGGCCTGCCTGCGGTTCCGTCCTGATCTCGGGTCCTGGGATCGAGCCTGCCGGGCTCCCCGCTCGGCGGGAGTCCGCTTCTCCCTCTCCCCACCAGCCCCTGCTCTCGCTCTCTCTCAAACAAACACAATCTTGAAGAGCGAGAGAGGGACTGATGCGGACCAGGCACCGGTTAGCACCAGGCCGCTTTCAGGGGTTGGTGGACGACGGAGGGGTGCACGTTACCACCCGGATCCGCCAACTCGGACGCCCCTACGGAACGGGCCGAAAGCTCCGGCGGTCAGCAGCCCCAAGCGCTGGGACAGAGGTGGGCCGGCAGGGGCCCGGCGGCCCGGGGCGCAGGGGCAGTCTCCCGGCCGCGACCCCGACGACCGGCGCTGGGGACGACGTCCGACACGGTCGTGCCGCCAGCAGAAAATGACCAGGTGACACGGTCACTCTCCGGAACGCAGCACCGCACGACGCGGATTCGGCCCGCGCCACGGCGCCCGGCCGCCCTCGCTCCGCTGAGGCGTGAACCAAGGGCAAGACCCGCGCCGGCGCGCCGGGTGGGGCTGGGGGCGGGGGTCCGGGGCCCCGCTCTCCCGGCGCGGCTCCCTCGGGCCCCGCGGCCCCCTCCAGCAGCGACGCCCCCGAACGGCGCAGCCGCAGCGCGCAGTCCGGCGCGGCGCCCCGGGCGGCACCTGACCAACCGCCAGGGAACGCCGGGACGGCCGGGGCGCGGCGGGCGCGGGGAACCAGCCCGGCCGGCCCCCACCGCGCACGCGCCCCCCGGGCCGTCCGACCGCGCACGCGCCGCTCCCGGGCCGACATGGCGGCCGCGCTGCTGCTGCTGCGCGCCCTCCGCCCGGGCCCGGCCGCGGGGTCCGCGCCGCTGCGGAGCCCCTGCTCGGGCGGGAGCCTAAGCCTCTCCTTCGGGGCCGGAAGGAGGTGCCGGCACTTCGTCCACAGGCCTGCGATGCGGCTCCTGGGGGCCGGGGGCCGCGCCAAGCAGGTACCCGCCGACCCCGGCCGGGCCGCGCCCATTCCAGCCCCTGACCCGCTGCCGCCCGCGCTTCCACCTCCCGACCCCTCGGCCGGCACCTCCCGTCCCCGGGCGGGCCCCGCCCCCACCCCCGGGCCCCCGGCCCCCGGCCCCCGGCCCCGGCGGACCCCGAGCGAGAGAGGCGCGGTCGGGCGCAGAGGCCGCCCGGGCAGCCCCGGAGGAGACTCCTCGTAGGTCCCAGCCTGCATTTTTCCAGCCCATTTTTGGGGTATTGATATTCTCTGCCTTGTGGTTTCCTTCCTGGCGTCTTGGGTGCCTGGCCCAGTCGGTGGAGCATGCGACCGGATCCTGGGTTGTGAGTTCGAGCCCCACCCACGTGGGCTGTAGAGCTTACTTAAAACTAAAATCTCTAAAAAAATATTTTTAAGGGCCGCCTGGGGGGCTCTTATCCCGAGGTCCTGGGATCGAGCCCCGAGTCGGGCTCCCTGCTCAGTGGGGAGTCTGCTTCTCTCTCTCCCTCTCCCCCTGCTTGTGCTCTCTCTCTCTCAAATAACTAAATAAAAATCTTAAAAAAAAAAGTTTTATATTTTTAGATTTTATTATTTTTTTTTATTTATTTGAGAAAGAGCGAGAGATCACAGAGGCAGAGAGAGAAGCTGACCTGCAGCTGAGCAGGGAGCTGGATGCGGGACTGATCCCAGGAGCCGGGGATCATGACCTGATCCGAAGGCAGACGCTTCACCGACTGAGCCACCCAGGTGCTCCCCGCAAAACAGTTTTAAAAATTGAACCCACTAAGAGTTTCATGGAGAACTGTCTCCCAATTGGCTCACGTGGATCAGACCTCATGAAGATGAGTCCCCATGGTCCTTGGCCGTGGCTCCAAGGGGGGTGACGGTTTTGTGTGAGCAAAGTACCATATAGCTGTATCTTACCTGTGTCCCGTAGCTTCACGCGTTACGGACCTGAATTGACTGAGCACTGTCCAGTGAGGGTGCGCTCTGGGCTCTAGCTCAGGTTAACTATCCAGAAGACAAAGACCCCAAATCCTGCTGCCGTCTTGGCTGGGGCTCAACACGCACATTTTAGGTCATAATTTGTTATTGTTGTTCTATTTCACCATAACTTGAGGACCGGTCTGAATTATAATCCTGGCCGTCCTCTGTATTTTTTGTTTCTTTTCAGAGTTTGCAGCTGTGCCTGCCGACCCCAACTGCTGAAGGGTTCAGTGGATTGTTGTGGAAACAGCATCTAGTCCAGAATCCAGTCAGACTCTGGAAACTCTTAGGTGTGTATCTTGTGAAACACAGGTAGTAGGCACATCCTGTGACATTTGTAAATAAATCAGGATAAAGCTGCTGTTTTGACACTGATAGTGAAAGGAAATCACTCAGGGGACTTTGGCTTCTGTTTATTGTAAGCCCTTAGATGCTCTCAAGTGCAGTTTATGGACAGATAGACTGAATGAGGTCTGAACAGGCCACGTGTGCTTACCTGAGTCGTCCCCCTCCCCTTTTTAAAAAAATCTGACGTATGGCAGTAATTGGGCTGCTTACAAGGTTTTCCATATTCTCTAGCCAGCTGCAAGAACGTCTAGTAAGGATCTTCAGAGTGGCTCTGTATGTTTTATATCCAGAAGGTAATTACAAACAGCCTACAAGTAATTTATGTTTAACACTGGTTTTATCATTCGGTGAGACACCGTGACATCCTCAAGAGAGATCTTAGCTCAAAGGCCTTAGGACCTCCAGGATTGACAATGTGATCTTACGTCCCCCCTCTATCCAGGTGGAACTGGGAAAAGTGGAATCTCCCAACTCCTAAAGGACATTACGTGGCTTGGTGCCCACATGTGGTCAGCCGCGCGCTCACCTCCTGTGTGTGTTTCCCCACTTAAGTGTATGCATGCGCCTGGTGGCACACAGCTCACTCTCCAGACAGCCTGATCCGTGTCCAGGGGCCATCAATGTAGTCTCCCTGGTGGTTCTGTTAACCTTGTGAAGAGAGGTGCAGCTGTCATGGTTGGTGAGACTCTCCTTCCTCTCCTTTGAAACATTAGTTCAGTTAGACGGTGGACGAGACCCGTGCCTTTGGTGGGAGGAGTGTTGTGTCTTGGTGGTGGTGGCCACTGGGTTGCTGGTGACGCACGTGTCAGAGCCACCGTGTTGCTCATTAGTTTAAATTAGCTTAGAGTGACTGTGGTTCTTGAAGGGGTTGTTCTCCAACAAGCTCAGGAGACGTTCTCAGTATACCTTCATAAGGAAGTTTTACTCCCTTGCATTGCTGATTTGAATTACAAAGATACTCCGTAAGTTGAAATAGTTTATTATTCTATAATTGGCAGTTACTGTACTAAGAACGATCATCCCAAACTTCTAAATCTTACAGATGTAGGTTTCAGATGGCTTCTGTTTTGGTTTGGTTACTGAAGAACATACTCTTCTGAGCGCTTCTCTGTAGGGGCAGATCTTGTTAAACACATTCCCTATTCCTTGCAGGTGGCAGTTACTATTTTAACACCTCCAGGATGAAGCAGAAGACTAAGGACAATGATAAATCTAAGGGGAGGACCCCTGAAGATGATGAAGGTATATCTATTTGACTTTCTTAAATAATGGCTACTTTGGTTGTCTGCACATGTGTGTTCTGGTCTCAGCAACAGGAAACCTATCTTAAAAGTAGCATGAGCCCGCGCGGCTCAGTCGGTTAAGCATCCAGCTCTTGGTTTCGGCTCAGGTCATGATCTCAGGGTCATGAGATCGAGCCCCGCATCGGGCTCCACACTCAGCAGGGAGTCTACTTGAGATTCTCTCTCCCTCTGTGCCCCCACTCTCTCAAATAAAATAAATAAGTCTTTAAAAAAAAAAGAAAGAAAAGTTAAAAACAAATGTAGGGTGCACCTAGGCCCCTGTGTCTCCTTGACTGTGAGCACACCTACCCCCAGTCTTTAATGTGATTACTGGATCTTTTCCTTGCCTGTCCTTTAGAGGTGCTTCCATCAGCACATGGGTCCCTTGTCCTGTCCAGACATCTGAAGGTAGGCAGAATTATAGTCCTCTGCGTGCAAAGGGTGAACCTCCGATCTGCCTTGAACTCAAGTGCTCTGGGGTGGGGAGGAAGGCACTTGGTCGGACCCACCCCACACAGGCTCCTGATGATGTGTAGACTTGAGAAGCAGCCCCCAGACGAGAGGTTGGTACGGTGCGTGGCCTCGAGGAAGGAGTGGGACACATCGCTGTCCTGTGTGATTGACCTCTGTGTACCCCAGTTCACAACAACCTCACTTGCAAATCTTGAGTCTCATCTGTAGAATTAGGACTCTGATCAAGCAAAGGGTGAGGGCATTAAAAAGGTTAGTTTAATTTTTTTTTTTTTTTTAAGATTTTATTTATTTGCGAGAGAGACAATGAGAGACAGAGAGCATGAGAGGGAGGAGGGTCAGAGGGAGAAGCAGACTCCCTGCCGAGCAGGGAGCCCGATGTGGGACTCGATCCCGGGACTCCAGGATCATGACCTGAGCCGAAGGCAGTCGCCCAACCAACTGAGCCACCCAGGCGCCCCTAAAAAGGTTAGTTTAAACTGAATTGACTCTAAGGTAAAAGCTGGCTGCTTGGAGCTAATGACAATGGAAGCTGCTAACCCACTGCAACAGCTGGAGTGTGCTCAGCACTGTACTAAGTGATTCGTATGTCTTCTCCATTAATTCTGTCCTCATAATTACCCTGTTACGGTCCCCGTCCTGTGAGGATTCTCCGGAAGGGCACACAGGTAGAGAAATGGTTGTCTTGTCAAGGAACTGCCTCGAACTTAGGTGCTGATTTTGTTGTCCTTTACTTATTTTATTTTATTTTTATTTATTATTTATTAGAGAGAGAGAGAGGGAGCATGACCATGGAGGTCGGGGCTGGGGGAGGAGGGGCAGGGGGAGAGGGAAAAGCAGACTCCATGCTGAGCAGGGAGCCTGACAACGTAGGACTCGATCCCAGGACCCCAGGATCATGACCCTGAGCCAAAGGCAGACACTTAACCAACTGAGCCACCCAGGCGCCCCTATTTTTTATTATTATTTTTAAAGTAATCTCTTTGCCCAACGTGGGGCTCGAACTCACCACCCCGAGAGTCGCACACTGCACCGACTGATCCAGCCAGGTGCCCCCAGCTTCAGGCTCTTTGGAATAGGTCTTAACTGGAAACCAGTAGCCATTGCTTGGGTTCGGTTTAGTTATTCCTGGTTTCAGGCTTCATGGGGCATCTCTTCGGGCAGTCAGTCATTTCTTTTGCTGACAGAGCTCCTGGGGCACTTGGCTCTTCCTCAGAAGGCTTCTGAGTTAAAAGGTTTTCGGGGGTGGAGGGTGAGGATTTGGTTCATCAGAAAATCTACAGGATTTTGAAAAATATCAGTGAGGCTGATAGTGGCAGATACTGAGATGTTTTTCTCCCCAAAATTAACGGGTTGGTCCAGTAATAGGTAGGAAGCGTAATGGAACCGAACAGGACACCCAGAGGCAGAGTCCGGCTTATCTCAGAATTCATACGGAGCTGTGGTGGCATTTCACGCGGTAGCAGAAGGGAGGCTTGTGTACGAAACGGTGTGGAAGAGTTGCTATTACTTGGAGAGAGACTGTTTCATGTGTTCCAAAATAAATCCTGCATGGATGAAGTCATTAAATCTAAAAAGCCAAGTATGAAAGAATCAGGAAGAACCTCGGGGGAAAATTTCCTATCTCAGAATCGTAACTGAAGACAGCGTAACGATAAGGGTTTCCGGTGAAGGAAGAGGTGGTGGGCGGCGCGCTGGCGGCCTGCCTTGCGCGCGGGGTCTCAGCCAGTGTGGCGCGAGGGACAGCAGAGGCAGAAGCAGGAGTCTCCCCACTTCTGTCCTGCGCTCCGTCCAGCAGCCGCGCGTGTCCAGGGTGTCTGCAGCCTCTGCCCTCTTCGTGCGATTGCTTTGTAGTTGGTAGTCTGAGTTAGTTGAGAACATGGGATGAAGCTCGTGTCTGCTGAATTTTCATGAGAGGGTAACGACTTGCTTGACCAGAGGGTTTTCCTCTCTGTGAGAACCTGCTGTGGCTCTCCCTGGTTCTGCTGCGTGCTGGTGAGGGTCTGGCTCACCGGGAGCGCCCACGCCCTGACTGCACACAGCGGGCACAGCCCGGGTCTCGCCCGCAGGGTCTTGCCCGCAGGGCTGGCGGCAGTCTTGAATGAAGAGCCAGTCCCGGAAGCTTGCGTGCCACGTGGTTCCCATTTAGAGCCCATTCTCCAGAGACACGGGCACAGGGGTGGCGAACAGTGTTGGCAGGGCCTAGGAGCTAGGCAGCCCCCGCAGGGACGAAGTCCTGTGTGTCTTCACCGGCGGAAAAGTGCACGAAACTAAGACACAAGAGCACGTGTCAGCGGGGGCGGTCTGAATAAGGCCGGGGGGCTGCGTCACTGTCCGGTTTTGTAAAAAGTTACTGTTGGAAGCAACTGGGCAGATAGTTTTTGTTACTACCTAGGATTACACGTGAATCTACAGTATCACGTAGTAAAAGTGTAGCTAAAAAAGCAGTTGCTGGAGTCTCCAGACCACTTTGGTGCTAGTGCTTCTTTTTTTTTTTTTAAAGATTTTATTTATTTATTTGAGAGAGAGAGCACATGAGGGGGGGGAAGGTCAGAGGGAGAAGCAGACTCCCCGCCGAGCAGGAAGCCCGATGCGGGACTCGATCCCGGGACTCCAGGATCATGACCTGAGCCGAAGGCAGTCGCTTAACCAACTGAGCCACCCAGGCGCCTGGTGCTAGTGCTTCTTGTCCCTGAGGTTGAGGATGCGCTGTGAGTGTTCTCTGGAGTTGCTGTCTCCATCTGGGGCGGGCCCAGCGCCAGCTGACGGTTGGAAAGAACCGGACTGTCACTGCAAACCTCATAAGCTTTTCGCCACAGTGCCCGCGTTCAGGGTTAGTGGGAATAAGTTCTTCCAGAAGGACTTCCGGACAGAAAACCTGGGGCAGCTCTGGAAGCTGTCTCCCTGAAACTCTGCTGTGTCGGTCACTGACCCGTGTGTAGGTGGCCACCCCTCTGAAGAGGGATTTTGGCACCAGAGTTTCCGAGGGGGTCTGTCCAGTGGTGGACAGTCAGGTGGCCAGGAGGCAGCAGTGTTACCCGGGCTTAGCCCTTGGCTCTCCGTGAGCCTGTCGTTAGCGTCGGGAGCCAAAGTAGATGCGGGAGCTGCGGGGAGCACTGCGCCCGAGGGCAGCCTTCACAGATGTGGTGGGATGCAGCTGCAGGGAGGGGCAGCGGAGGAAGGGGTCCTTGAGGAACAAACTGATGAAAGGCCATTTTCCAGTTAGACTCTCAGGGTCAGATTTTATTTCATGTCTCAGACCTCACACATCTTACTTTCATGGAGCCAGTCCTCTGTCTCACACCCACACCTACCCCTTTTGTCTTTCTCAGACCGGCCCTCGTAATTTCATACCTGACCAACACTACAGATATGTGGGGTTTTCCTTTGTTTTCAAAAGATTTTATTCTGGGGGCGCCTGGGTGTTAAGCGTCTGCCTTCAGCTCAGATCATGGTCCCAGAGTCCTGGGATCGAGCCCCCGCATCGGGCTCCCTGCTCAGCGGGAAGCGTGCTTCTCCCTCTCCCACTCCCCCTGTTTGAGTTCCCTCTTTCGCTGTGTCTCTCTCTGTCAAATAAATAAAATCCTTAAAAAATAAAAATAAAAAAATAAAAGATTTTATTTTTAGTAACTGCTGCAAGCCTGGGATCAAGAATTGCACGCTCCGCTGACTGAGCCAACCAGGCGCCCCCAGAAATGTGTGTTTTACATTTGATGTCCTTGGGTTAAGTTTCAGAAGTACAGCTAGCGAGTTAAGGAAACAACAGTGTTTTCTGTGGCTCTTGGGACACCCAGCCAGGTCGCTTCCGGGAGGGCTTCCTCCTGGGTACCCCTGGACAGCATGTGCGGCACCAGCTAACCGCACCTCGTGGGCCTGGGCTAGTGCGAATGGACGGAGCGCGTGCTCGCACACCCTCCTTGCTGGATGGGTCCTGCGCGGTGGGGCGTGCTGTGTCTGTCCCCTTGGTGCCCGGGGAGGGAGGAGGACTCAGGGTGATTGTGGCTCAGAAGCAGAATAGGAGATCTGTTGAGACGTGCAAACGATTTTCACCTGACCTCCGCGATACGTCCTGGAGCTTCAGAGCAATAACCGCTCTGGGTTGGGGCCTCCCTGTTCCTGCACCAGGAGATCCTCTCATAGTGGGATCTGCGGCCTCCAGGCCTGGCCAGGCAGATCCTTCTCCCTGAAATAGGCCGATGGGGGCAGTTCCACGTGTGACAGGACACCTGGCTGGTTTTTACTTGAAAAGCGTTGGATTTGTGAAGAAAGGTGTTTATTGGAGCCTAAATTAAAGCTGTCTTTTTATTGTTCAGAAATTCTTACAAAAATATGCAAAGCTATTTGTTATTTAAAACCAAGCCATATCTGGGGCACCCGGCTGACTCCGTCGCTGGAATATATGACTCTTGATCTCAGGGTTGTGGGTTCGAGCCCCACGTTGGGTGTAGAGCTGACTTAAAGAAATGAAATCTTTTTTAAAATAAATAAATAAATAAATGAAACCAAGCCGTATCTTTTAAAAATTGTAGACCTGCTTCACATTCTGCAAGCAGACACGCATGAGTTACAGAGTTGCTGCGAGCCCTTCTCCAGGAGAGGTGTGCTGTGTGGCGGTCAGAGCAGTGAGGAAAGGCCATGTCGCCACGCGGCCTGGGCCCAAATTTGTACATCCTCCCAGTGGCTTGTGTGCCACAGCCACCGGCCAAGAGCATGGGGGTGCACGCGCCATTTGAGGGTCTCCAGTCGGTCACATGAGCTTCTGCTGGTGGAGCGTCCCATTTGCCAAGTGTGATGACTACCACCATTGTTAATGAGAACACATACTGGGGGCAAAATAGAAAATTAAATGAAATACATGGTTTCTAAATAATTACTCACCTGAGAACATGAATTTGCTTTCCAAGGGCGCCTGGGTGGCTCAGTCGTTAAGCGTCTGCCTTCGGCTCAGGTCATGATCCCAGGGTCCTGGGATTGAGTCCCACATCGGGCTCCCTGCTCCACGGGGAGCCTGCTTCTCCCTCTCCCACTCCTCCTGCTTGTGTTCCTGCTCTCGCTCTCTCTCTCTCTCCGTCAAATAAATAAATAAAATCTTAAAAAAAAAAAAAATTTGCTTTCCAAGACAAGGGTACCTTTATTTTGTTGCCACTTGTGACTATGAGCTTTAAATATTAAATTTGCTATTACTGTCTATTCTCAGATAAGGTAACATCTGAAATGTGCTTTCATGTTTTCAGAATGATTGCTGACACAGCCTTCTCTGTAAGATTCATTTTGTGTTTTTTTTTAAGATTTTATTTATTAGAGAGAGAGAGAGAGCATGAGAGGGGAGGGGCAGGCAGAGAGAGAAGCAGACCCCGCTGAGCGGGGAGCCCGATGCGGGGCTCGATCCCAGGACCCCGGGATCAGAACCTGAGCCGAAGGCAGACGCTCAATGAGTGAGCCACCCAGGCGCCCTCATTTTGTGTTTTTAAGCTGATTTAAAATGCCTTTCAGGGGCGCCTCCCACTCCCCCTGCTTGTGTGCTTGCTCGCTCTCCCTCTCTCTGTCAAATAAATAAATTAAAAGTCTTAAAAAAAAAAATGCCTTTCAGTTCCTCTAAACGGATGGCCAGAGAGGAGGGTTGTGTGTCTGTGGACGGTCCGCCTACAAGCAGAGCAGAGGGAAGTGGGTGGACACGGAGGTCCAGTTGCGCTCTTGTCCCTGGAGAAAGGACCACACGTACACGTGCAGCTTGGGCTGAGCCCCGTGCCTGTGCGGGGCCCTCCCTGCTCTCCCCCCGAGTGGATGCCGTGTCTGTGCAGGAGAAGTAAATGGTGGAAGCTTTGGTTGCTCAGATCAGTCGGGGCCATCTTGGGCAGGACTGGAGAAGGACGGTATATGCACTTCTCAAAAGGTGTCATTAATGACGGGCCCGGTAAAGTCTGGATGGAGTGTCGGGAGGATGAGCCGTACCACACAGGTGAGGGCCGCATCATAGTCCAGGCCTTCTGGTGTGGAAATGGAGGTGCCAGATGCTTCTAAGGACTGGCGGGTGGGCCAGCGAGGAGACACAGCGGTGTGGAGACTGCCCTTCGTCCCCAGCAGGGGAGGGGCTTATCTGACCGGCTGGTTTGGGAGAAGACTGTGGCCTGGCCTTGGGCGGCTGTAAGCAGGACTCTCCCGTCTGTGCTGTGGGCCTGAGGGAGGCGACTCCTGCTGTCCTCCCGGTCCTCCCGGTCCTCCTGGCGTGCTTACTCGTCCTTCCCGCCCGGAGCCTCCCCATGGTGGCCTTGCTGGGAGCTGCTTCTCACAGTTCCTTATGCTGTGTGCTAATGGCCTCCCGTGTCACCTCCCAGGTGTTCATGCGCCCCAAGGTCAGGGGCTGAGTCTTGTGTCTTTTCGTCCCCCAAGAACTGGGCACGGTGCAGTCTGTATTCTAATAATGTGATTATTTATCTGATGGTTTGGATAAAGAGTTGGTTGCTGGGAACATTCTTGAATTAAGTGGTCCCCCCAAATATGTCCAGGATAGGCAGCTGTTGGGGAGGGGAGGGCAGATGGTGCTAAAAGGTGTTTCTTTGTCATCAGTGAGTTGCACGTGTGCCACATGCATCATGGGTGACCGTACGAGGTCAGGGGTCAAATGTGCCTCTGGGGGAGGGCTTACTGCCAAGATGCAGCACAGGCAGGTGCAGGGAAGCTTCTGACCGTAAAACTGGCTTTGTGCTCTGAGTAGACGCGACCTCGGTGAGTGCAGTGTTGGCGGCCTTGACTGGCGTGTGATGAGTATCTCTCCCGTGTCTGTCGCTCCCCCTGGTCACCCTGCTTGCAGAGGAGAGGAGACGCAAGGAGAGAGAGGACCAGATGTACCGTGAGCGGCTGCGCACCTTGTTTGTCATCGCCGTGATCATGAGCCTGCTGAACGCGCTCAGCACCAGCGGGGGCAGCATTTCCTGGAACGACTTTGTGCACGAGATGCTGGCCAAGGGCGAGGTGCAGCGCGTGCAGGTGGTGCCTGAGAGCGACGTGGTGGAGGTCTACCTGCACCCCGGAGCTGTGGTGTTCGGGCGGCCTGTGAGTGAGGGCGGAGCCCCTTTTCCTTCGTCCCCACTGCCCTGAGCCGAGCTTAATGTGCTTGAATCAGGGACAGGAGCTGGGGGGCCTGCAGCGGCAACTCTGAGGTCCTGCCCTGTGGGTCTGGTCCTGGCTGCAGGTTAGCACCCAGGGCAGCTTGGGGCAGCTGCTGGTGAGTCGGGATTCCTGGGGGCCCCAGGGCAGGAAACTGTGCGCTCTGTGAGGGTGGCTGAGAGTTGGGGTCGGGCAAGGGCCTGCTCACCTCCCCACCTCAGGTGCCCCCAGGAGGGAGCCCAGCGCGCTCACCAGAGGAGGGGTCCGGAGGGTGGGATTTGGTCCCAGGGAGAGGGCTGGGCATTGGGGGTGGGAGGATGGGGGGGGTCCCAGAAGCTGACTCTGAATACCTGCTGTGGAAGGAATCACCATCCTCCCCACCCCGTAACCACAGCAGCGGCAGGCCCAGGAGAGGTAGCGACGCGAGAATATTTTCCAAAGCACTTCCCCTGAGCCTGTTCCCTGGTCATCTCTGGACTGACGTTAAGAGCTGTTTTATTAGTATTTTACTTTATTTTATTATTATTTTTTTAAGTAGGCTCCACCAGCATGGAGTCCAATGCAGGGCTTGAACTCACGACCCTGAGTTCAAGACCTGAGCTGAGATCAAGAATCGGACGATTAACCCACTAAGCCACCGAGGCGCCCCTTATTAGTACTTTTAATCCAGGGTCCCATCAAGGACCAGGAATTATACTTAGTTGTCATGTTTCTTTAGTCTCCTTTCCATTTTTTGTTAGAGGTTTGGGTGGTGGAGACACTGGACCAGGTAAAATGCTGGGAGACAGGTGTCCAGTGTGGACACACTCTGCTCATGGGGAGCACAGGTGGACTCCTGGGCATAGCACTGGGCCCCTCATGATAGCATCAGGGGTGCACCGCAGCCCCTGCCCAGGTTCTGGATTGGGCTGAGTGCCAAGCACTGTTTACAGCTGGTTGTTGGTTTACAAGAGCTTGTAATTTAGTTGGGGTGATAGGTTCCTCCTGGTCCTGCGTATTGCGTGAGCTGGGTGACCTTGCAGAAGCCCAGGCGGTCAGAGATGTGGGAGTTGAATTGGTGTCTGGAATCGCATTTTGCTTTTGGCTTCCGGCAGAGAAAGAAGGTCATTGCCACGTGTTTGCAGTCTGTTCACCTGGCTGGGCAGGTGTTTGAGTGACAGAGGCGTGGATGAAGTCCAGATCAGACATCCGGGGTCTGTTAGGTTAATCCAGCAACTGAGGCCCCTGGGCATTCCAACGCAGATGACGATCAGTGTGTCATGGCTGGTGGGTGCCCCCAGCTGCCTCTCGCATCTGGCCCTGTGACCCCGTGACATGCAGCCTGGCCAGCCGCTCATTCCACGCAGAATCTTCTGAGCCTCTCAGCGCCAGGGGAGAGTCTGGTCGCTCCATGTAGATTCCACAGTGCGTTGAGAAGCTGTGCTTGGAACAGCTTCATTCTAGAAAGCATTTGGACCAGGCCCTTAGGAGAATGATGTGGGACTGGCAGGATGCCGTCCAGGTTGGTGGAGATCAGGATGGCCCCTTGGTGGGTGGCTCGGGTCAGCTCACAGAGCAGGGATTTGGGGGCCCAGCGTGGACTTCCGGCTTGCTCTGGAGCCTCCTCTCAGGGAAGCCTGTACCCGTGGAGGACATTCCACCTGCGCACAATCCCTGAGCCTCTTCTCTACCCGGGAGGGGTTTACTGAGAATAGAGAAATCCACTTAGCTGAGTTTCACATTCAGCCAGTGGTGAAGCACCAGACCTGTGTTCTTGCCTTAGTGAGTTGCCTGCCTCCCGGCAAATAGCTCGTGTCTGTCGTCTCTGTGCTCTGCACGCACAGCTGAGGCTGGGTGGTGAGTTTGAAGCCTAAAGCACACCCTCTGTTTTCTTAAATGTCCCTGTTAGTGAAAACAGAGCAAGCACACGTATGGAAAGTGTGTTGCAGTCGGGATCTGGACGTGGTTTCTGAATGGCAGGTGAAGTTCAGCTTCTGGAGCACTGTGGGGTGTGGGTGCTGGGTCTCGCGGCTGTCCTCAGCCCGCGTGTCACCTGCACCGCGTCTGCTCTCTGCCCCCAGCGGCTGGCCTTGATGTACCGGATGCAGGTGGCAAACATCGACAGGTTTGAGGAGAAGCTCCGAGCTGCTGAAGACGCCCTGAATATTGAAGGCAAGGACAGGATCCCGGTTTCCTATAAGCGGACAGGATTCTTTGGAAAGTATGTTGGTCATTTTTTGGCTCCTGAACTAAACCAGGCTTGGCTTTGTAATGTGATAACAAACCACCAACATCTCACATTGGCCTTGCCTCCAGTAAAGCTGCCCCCGTGTGGGAGGGTAAGTAGGAGTGCGAGCCGGTGACCACGCGTGGGGACGGGCATCGTGGGCCTGTTGGAGCGTCTTTCACTTTCCTTACTTGTTGGTTCAGTACGTTGTGGGGCTGCCGTCTTGTACAGATGGGAAAATGGAACAGAAAGGGCAGAAGCAGGGACGTCCAGTAGAAGTTCTTGCTTCCTTGTGGCAGGTGGAAATGGGGACCCTGTGGGACCTGCATCTCCTTAGCGGGAGCACATTAACTCGCAGAGTCGTGGGGGGCTTCACGGCACACACGTGTGTAGAGAGGTTCACTCGTGGACACGTGCCCACACTGAGAAGACGCAGGATGCCAGTGACGGCAGGCACTCCTGAGAGGTGGCCGTTCTCTTGAGGGTGCAGGGCCTCCAAGGCCGAGGGGCTGTCGGCAATGGCGGGAGGTACGGCTGGAGCCCTGGGGTTTACTCTGTACCGCTGTGCTCCCTTGCTGAGCAGGGAGCCCTATGCGGGGCTCCACCCCAGGACCCCGGGATCATGACCTGAGCCGAAGGCAGATGCCTAACGACTGAGCACCCAGGTGCCCGATGGCCTACTTTTGAAAACAAAATATATCACACATGAAAATCTGTTCTTTCGGGCATTATCAAGAGGCTCTCGATGACCCGGTCAGTGCGCGGTGTCCGCGGTCTGGCTTCGCACTGTGGTGAGCCGCTGTATCGGGCCTTTACACGCTCCATGGGACAGCCTGGGGAAGGTCACAGGACGAGAGGTGGACGAGGAAACCCATTTCCACAACCATCCACTCTGCACACTGGGCTCAGAGTGGGGGGTTGCTCTTGTCATCTGTGGAGGGTCCATGGCCCCTGACGTGAGGCGTGTGCATACTGCCTGCCCGTAACTGCCCCTCTCTCCTGCTAGTGCCCTCTACGCCTTGGGGATGACCGCAGTGGGCCTGGCCATCCTGTGGTACGTGTTCCGTCTGGCTGGAATGACAGGAAGGGAAGGAGGACTCAGTGCTTTTGTAAGTTATGAACATCCCATCTCATTGAACCCGTGGTCTAGGGTTTGTGCTCGTGCTCGCGGAACACGCTTCACGTAAATCACAGTGAATGTTCACCTGTCACAGAGGCCAGCCTGGAGTCATGGCCTGGGCGGCTCCTCTTTCTTTCTGCTTAGCCCCTATCCCCCGACTCTCTCCCTGACTCGTGGGGCAGCTGAGCCAAGCAGGTGTGTAGGCCAATTTATTCTGCAGTTTTCAGGAGCTGAGCATGACTTACTTTTTTGTTTCTCCTACTAGCTAAGACACTGAGAAATTTTTGAAGGTTGTCTTTATGTTTTTATTTTATTTTTATTTTTTTAAAGATTTTTTTTTTTTAAGTAATTTCTGCACGCAATGGAGGGCTTGAACTCAAGACCCCCAGATGAAGCGTCACATGCTCTACCGACTGAGGCAGCCAGGTGCCCCAAACCTTAATACAATTTAAAAGCATTCTCCTGGGGCGCCTGGCTGGCTCCGTCAAAAGAACATGTAGTGCTTGATTTCAGGGTCTTGAGTTTGGGCCCCGAGTTGGATGTAAAGATTACTTAAAAAAAAAAAAAAAATTCTCCTGTTGTGGTGACCTTCATTGTAACATGAACTTTCCCTCCCTGGCAGGTTGCATATGGCCAGTTAGCCCATCAGCAGAGGAGCTGGGGAGGGGCCCAGGGCCTGCTTGGAGCAGGTCTGCAGAGGGTACCTTCTGGTCACCTCCCTGGGAACCGAGACATATTTCCACTGAGACCAGGATCGTGTTCCTGTCTTTAGCTAAAGACTCATACCCTTTTAACGGTGTCTCATTGTGGGGCTATGTTGTGTTTTACTCAGCCAGTTTCACCAGTCTTGCATATTTGGGGCTGTTTATTTATTTATTTAAAAAAAAATTTTTTTTAAGATTTTATTTAATTATTTGACAGAGAGCGAGCACAAGGAGGGGGAGCTGTAGGCTCCCCGCTGAGCAGGGAGTCCTATTCGGGGCTCGATCCCAGGACTCTGAGGTCATGACCTGAGCCGAAGGCAGACGCTTCACCAACTGAGCCACCAGGAGCCCCTATAGTCACTTTTTTTTTTTAAGATTTTATTTTGAGAGAGAGAGCATGAGCTGAGGGAGAGGCAGAAGCAGACTCCCCGCTGAATGGGGAGCCTGATGTGGGACTTGATCCTGGGACCCTCCCTGAGATCACGACCTCAGCCGAAGGCAGACGCTTAACCAACTGAGCCACCCTGGCATCTCAGGGGCTGTTTATTTTCCCTGCGGTATTTATATAGTACTGTGATAAACCTAATGCACGTGTGTCTTTGGAGTGCCTGACTGCCTGGTGTGCCTCCTGAGGCCGAATTTAGCTCATTTGCACCCCTCACCGAGAGCTTTATCTTGCCTGATTGCTCTCCAGAAATTTACCAGCTAACATTTCTACCAAACCTTCCTAGAGCTGAGTGTTATTACATTACCTTTATAATCAGAGAGTTCCACCCTAGTAGGAAAAATCACATGGAAAAATACAGTTTTTGTGCAATAGATATTAAATTACCTCGTTTGGGTGGGGGGTGGTTTATGTTGTTTTTTTTTAAAGGCAAATTGCTAGATGCTAGATGATTTTCTTACTGTTAGCGATGCACAATAAACATTTCCCCTTGGCTGCCTGGAAGGTGACTTTGGGTCCCATCTGTCTGAATATGTGGAGAGGGTGTGGGAGATGAGAGCCGGGCCGAGGGGAGCTGGGGCCCCTGGGACACGAAGCCCCCTTGCGCTTGCAGACCCAACCTGCGGGTGCTAACCTTCCCTGTTGTGCTAGGAGTCACAGCACCCTGCCCTTTGTTTTTTCTGCCCAGAATCAGCTTAAAATGGCCCGTTTCACAATTGTGGATGGCAAGATGGGGAAAGGAGTCAGCTTCAAAGATGTAGCAGGAATGCACGAAGCCAAACTGGAAGTCAAAGAGTTTGTGGATTATCTGAAGGTGGGTGCGCGAGCCAAGCAGGAGGTAAGACGCGAGCGCCCTCCTTGAGGGAGGGACTGCCCCAGTCAGGCGTGTGCCGTATCTGCTAAACCAGCAGGCTGAGTGCACAGCCCTGAGCCAGTAGTAGGGCCGAGAGCCCGCTGCTGGCCTTACCCCGGGCCATCTGGGACACCTGGTCACTGCCGGAGCTCTCTGCTTTTCCCAAACCACATGAACCACAGCTGATTCGTGACAGTGCAGGATCTCCACGTGAGTCCTCTTTTGGAAATTCTCTGTCAAACACCTGTGACTACTGTGCTATGATCTGTTGCTTTTCCAGAGCCCAGAGCGCTTCCTTCAGCTTGGCGCCAAAGTCCCAAAAGGTGCACTCTTGCTCGGGCCCCCCGGCTGTGGGAAGACACTTCTGGCCAAGGCGGTGGCAACAGAAGCCCAGGTGCCATTCTTGGCGATGGCCGGTCCGGAGTTCGTGGAGGTCATTGGAGGTTGGTATTGCCTGGGGGCTGTGGACAAGTTTGCCCAACCACCTGTGCAGGGCCCTTCCTCAGGTGGCCGGATAGACGGGGACCTGGGGGGACAGGGAAGGACACGTGAAACCCGTGTTACTGGCCATGTTTGTGGAGGGAACTTGGTAGTGGTGTTCTTTTGAGGCTGCTTCCATGTGTGGCCTGGGGAGTCCAGGAGGGTGAGCGTCCACCAGGGTGGCTCTGAGACCTCGGCATCCTCAGTGGGCAGCTCTGGTCCCCAGCACAAGAGTTGGGCTCGTCTCCCATTGTCGGTCCAACTCCGGGTCCCCTGTGTCACCTCAGGCCTTGGCGCTGCCCGCGTGCGGAGCCTCTTCAAGGAAGCCCGGGCCCGGGCCCCCTGCATCGTCTACATTGACGAGATCGACGCCGTGGGCAAGAAGCGCTCCACCACCATGTCTGGCTTCTCCAACACGGAGGAAGAGCAGACGCTCAACCAGCTTCTGGTGGAAATGGACGGTGGGTGCCCCACACCCCCAGTCTGCTCCTGGGCGGGGAAGGGTTTCTTCTTGAGACCCACTTTCTGGATAGACCACGTGGCTGATGTGTGTTGTTCCGGAACCTTGCCCTGATGCTCGCTGGCATTTCATTTTCCTGCAGTGACTGGTCTGCGTTTCTGCACCGTAGCACCTGCCAGAGGTGTGAGTGTGCCCAGCACTCCCCAGCAGGTAGCAACGAGACAAAGCCAGTTGCAGAGGTACTTGTCACCTTGAGCCACTCAAGAAACACAGGTCTTAATTGTAAAGAGTCAAGGTAATAGTAGAAAAGACGTAAAAAAACCTGGGAGCACAAAGGGCAGGGCAGGTCATGACACTGTTCCCAGTCTTGGGTAAACCCAGGGGATTGTGCTGTCTCTGCCGCCCAGTGCAGTAAAGGGACTTGGGGCGCCTGGCTGCCTCCGTCGGGGGAGCATGCGGCTCGTGATCTCAGGGTTGTGAGTGACATGGGGAATGGTTTTTTCTTTTTTTAAGATTTTATTTATTTTAGGGTGCCTTGGTGGCTCAGTTGGTTAAGCGACTGCCTTCGGCTCAGGTCATGATCCCGGAGTCCTGGGATCAAGCCCCACATCGGGCTCCCCCTTCTCTGTGGGGAGCCTGCTTCTCTCTCTGCCTCTGCCTGCCACTCCCCCTGCTTGTGCTCATTCTCTCTCTCTCTCTGTCAAATAAATAAATAAAATCTTTAAAAAAAAAAAAGATTTTATTTATTTTAGAGAGCTAGAGAGCATGAATGGGGGTGGGGGGGGAGTGAGAGAATCTCCAGCAGACTCCAAGCTGGGGGCGGAGCCTGATGTGGGGCTCGATCTCACGACCCTGAGATCACAACCTGACCTGAAACCAAGAGTCGGCCGCTCAACCGACTGAGCCAGCCAGGTGCCCGTTAACATACGTAACATTTATCATTTTAACCACTTATAAGTGTCCACTTCTGTGATGTTAAGTACGTTCTCATTGTGCATCCACCACCACTGTCCGTCTCTAGAACCTTCTCTTCCCTGACTGGAACTCTGTCCCCTTTAAACACTGACTCCCCGGCCCCTGGCAGCCCTGCTGTCTCCACGGGCCTGTCATGGTGAACAGCATGGACGCCCCTCAGCCCTGGTGCTGGGGTTTGCATTGGCGTGGCTGTGGGCGGCAAGGCGAGGCCTTTCCTCAAACGCTGATGTGCAGTCAGATGCACTGATGAATTTTGGAAGCCCTGCAAGCTCTACAGATGAAAAACCAAAGTGTCCTGTCTAACCAGTCTGCAGTAAAGGCTGTGTTATTAGGCCGTAAGGAGAAGAGCGAGCATGTGGAGCTGCCCCGCAGACCCTTGTGTCCCATCTCTGACCCTGCTGCCTGGCACCATTTGCTCCAGGACTGTTTTCAAGAGCAAGTTTCCAGGGAAGGAAGCTTCCACGGACTCCAGGTCCTTGGAAACGTGAGTAGAGTGAGGCCCCGGTTCTGAACGCAGCTGTCGAGAAACCGTCACAGGGGGGCCTCCAGGAGGGCCTTCCAGGCCAGATGGCAGGAAGCCCCCAACCCCTCACGCCGCTTCTGAGGGCAGGCAGTGTGCCGTTATTGCATGGTTTTGCCGTTACCCTCGGGAGTCTCCCAATGCCCAAGAAACCACACTCAGTGCTCCTCCTTTGAACAGCCTTCCACGACCCCTTAATGCTGTGCCACCTTTGCTCAGTGTGGCTCTAGTGATCTTGGGGTCCTGCAGAGATCCGGAAGGTCCCCTCGGGTTCTGGTCACGAGGTCTCACGGCTTGGCCTGTGGGTGCCCGAGCCTGAGGTCCATCCGCCCGCTGAGACCTGGGACCATGTGTTTGATGAGCCTCTGCTATCAGAAGTACCAGATTTTAATGATGGCGTCTGGTTGTCTCTTTAAAAGGATGGCCAGCCTCTGCGCTATGGAGGGGAGAAGGGAGAGCAGGCTATCAGAAGTCCTCAGATGACTCACTGGCTGTCCAGGCTTCAAGTGTCCTCAAGTTCGTGTCTGTCCTTCAGCTCCTACAGACAGCAGTTCGCGCGCGAGCATTCAGGCTCCTGGACGGGAGGGATGCCGTGGGGTTCACGATGGCCCCTGTTCGTTCATCCAAGCTCTGGGTTTTTGACACCGTCGGTGTGTGACCTCACCTGCAACTCTCTGGCCTTCTGTGTGCAACCGTGTGTCATTGCAGGTGATGTGAAGGCACTCAAGACTCCCACACGACTCCCTCTCTGAACGTGGAGGCCATGGGAAATAGTGTCTCTCCTGCTTATGTTGGTTGTTTGCACTTGAAGACTGAGCCCACCAGGAAGCATTTACTAAATGGCATCTTCCTCTGAGCCATAGCGCTCTGTGCTGCCATGAATGGGGTGCTTCCGCCCAGCACTTGCTTCTGCCCCTGACCCCCAGGCCCCCAGACTGAAGGCCCTTGTTGGGCTGGGCCTGCAGAGAACAGGTCCCTTTGTGTGCGGACACAGCCGGGCATTCTCAGCCCTTCAGATGCATCTGAGGAGTCTCTGTTAGTCCTTGGGGAAGGGCAGTGCCGCTTCATTGAAGTGCGGGGCACAGAGCAGACGCTGTGCCAGTCGTGGGAAAAGCTCACTGGAAAGAGAAACCCCCCACTCGCGGGTCAGGACGAGGCTGCACTACGAGACGGCCAGGCCCCATGGGATGGGCACCTGTGCGGAGCGCTGGGGTCCCACCAGGCCACTTACCGGTGGACAGTCACCTTTCTACATCTTTAATAGCACCAAGTGCCCCTTGCGGTGGATGCCTTCACCTGAGCCTCTGTGTTAAGCAAGAGCCTGTGGGGGTCATGAGCTCCGGCCTCACACGGAGTCATTAGAAAGTCCTAGCTCCCATCCACGTGGCCTTTTCCATTTTAATCTGTGATCTGTTTTAAGTTACTTTTGCAAAGATGGGAGGGCTTGGTCATGGCTCCTTTTTATGCCTGTGGATGTCCAGGTCTCCAGCTCCGTTTGTTGAAAAGGCTGTTGCTTCCTCCACTGAATGGCTTTTGGGCCTCTGCCAGCGCTTGGCTGGGCGTGTCTGAGAGTCTCTGGGCCCCCAGTCTGCCGCGCTGGCCGACGAGTCTGCCCCTCCGCCACAGCACTCGGCCCTCCTCGGGCAGCAGTCTTGGAGGAAGGTGGGCTGGCTCCTTGCGCTTGGTTCCCTCAGCTGAAACTCTTGCGGTGGTTGTGCTTTGCTTTCTCCTATAATTTTTAGAACAAGCTTGTCCACATCTCCCAAAAGATATTGCTGAGTTTTTGAAAGGAACACACACATCACAGGAGATCCAGGAGGAAGCATGGTGGCAGCACCAGATGCTGGTGAGTGCGCAGAGAGGTCGGACCCAGGTCCCCGTGTGAACCTTGATGAGCCTAATGTCAATAAAGCAGCCAGGGAGGCGTGAGCGGACACGCTGCTGGTGGGAGTGTCCAGTGGGGCAGCCTCTCTGGGAGACAAAACCACACACACACACACCTCCTGTCTGACCCAGCTCTAGCACTCCTGCGTGCTTATCCTAGAGAAAAGTTTACCCAAGACCTTCCCTTACCTGTGGGAGCTGAAGACTGGAAGCAGCCCGCATGTCCACCAGCGCATGCAGCTTGTAAACTCGGTGTTTCCTTGTCCGGGAAAGAAATGAACTTCTCACACTGACCTGTCTGGATGGGTCTCGGGATCGTGGCTCCATGTCGTACAGTGCCATTCACATGAGATCATCAGAGACAGAGTGGACCGCTCGCTGTTCTCCCACAGTCATTTTCGGCGTCGGTGACTCAGCTTTGGCCTGGGAAGGAGGTCATTTCGGAAGTCTGAGCAGGGAGTCCCAGCAGGTCCCCCGACCAGGGCTCTGGCTCCCCGCCTTGTCCGAGGAGCGGAGCTGCGTCTGTCCCAGGGCCCTCCCTCCAGTCAGCCCTCCTGTGTCAGAGTGACGTCTCCTAAAACCACGGTGCAGGCAAATGCAGCATGGGGTCAGAAGTGTTGCCCCTGCTGGGTGGGGCCTGCTTTTGCTTCCGGGTTACGTCAGAAGTCACGGTTATCACGAGCCATAGTCTCCGCTCGACACATGAATGGGACCGGACTCATCACGGTGTCCTGGCTTATCGCATTCCAGCAAGAACACACACAGGAGTGTTCCAAGGACTTCCTTGGGAGTGGGGTGTGGTTTGGGTGTCCTGGTGGCTGCTGCTCGGTGACTCGGGTGTCAGGTCCTTGGTGAGGAAGTGCCCCCCCACCCCTGGCCCGTGCGCTCAGCCAGGCCCCTCACTGCCGTCACAGGGTCCTGGGGTGGGGTTACTGACAGTCTGCTGGGAGGTGCCTCACACACTCTCAGGGCCTAATTCTCGAACACTTCTTTTAAATATCACTTAACACTTCACAGGTAGTTTTAAGTTGTACTTGTCAATGTCCGCTTATTAGGGATTTTTTTCATTAGCAAAAGACAGATCATGGTATTTTTGTTTGTTTAATTAAGTGGGCTCCACGCCCAACGTGGGGCTTTGAACTCAAGACCCTGAGATCAAGAGTTGCACGCTCCATCGACCCAGCCAGCCAGGTGCCCCTGAAATCTTTAATTTTTAAACTTTGTGTCTGGACCTTATCACATATACATAAGTGCAGAGAGAGATGTGCAGTAACCCTCCATGTCGCAGGCCAGCCCCGTTCCATCCACACCTCCTCCCATCCTCTTCCTGGGTGGGTGATTTTAAAGCCAGCCTAAAGTTCTGAATCTTACGTGCTTTGGACGTATTTGTTTACGTTCAGAGAAACACCACCATCTCACTGTAACACGTACTCTGAAAATACATATATGACCCTCTGATGCCCAGTCAGGCCCAGATCACCCAGTTGCTTCTTGGAGGCATTTCTGCAGGTGTTACTTTTTCCAGATTAGGGTCCAGTCTAAGTTCTCACGAAGATCTGGGCCACCAGTGGTACTTTTTGCACTTTTAAATTCCTGTGAGGAACCTGGAGCCTCCAAACCCAGGCCACAGACCAGTGTTCAGAAATGTCCACTTTGGCCCACGTCTTTGCACCAAAGGAGCGTGGACACGGTGCCCCTCGCTCCCCGGGTCTGCTGGGCAGTTACTGAGGAGAAATGCAATCCCCCCAGGATGCTGTCTGGATGGCCGTGCAGGCCCCCCCAACAACCATCTGTGGTTCTGCATCTGGGGTGGCAGCCTCGGGAAGACAGGCGAATCCTTGCTCTCATGGGGAGCTTGATCCTGGGTCAGTCCACATCTCCTCATTCAGAGCGCCGTGTGTGTTCCTGTCTCACGGACCCCAGTGGGAAATCAGTCCCACCCTGTGTCCTGAGCGGCGAGCTCTACCTGAACAGCTGTCTTCCCCTCCAGGAATGGGCACCACCGACCATGTCATTGTCCTGGCATCTACCAACCGAGCTGACATCTTGGACAACGCTCTGCTGAGGCCTGGCCGACTGGATCGACACGTCTTCATTGACCTTCCCACGCTGCAGGTCAGTGCGGCCGGGGGCTGGCTGTCGTCTGTCTGACTTGTCTTTGGCTTACGGCTCTGGTGTGGCTTTGCAGCTTGTTTCATTCACCCATAGTTTTTCTCTTTATCCATAAACATTGGGGCTGAGTTTTATAAGAATCTTGGGAGAGCCTCAGAATTCTCGTCCTGACCCCCTCGAGTCTGTAGGTCTCTGAGCCCCACCAGCATCCTCGGTGCCCCAAGGCAGCAGGAACCAGCAAGCAGTGATGGGTGGGGAAAGGGCTCAGAGCGTGTGCGTAATGGTTCCTGTTCCCGTGCCCCAGCCAGCAGTCCTCCTGGGTCTGACACTCAGACCATTACTGCTCTTCAGAAGCAGAGCGGGGCTCCCCTCTGACGCTGCACTCCAGAACAGCTTTCCATTGTTCTGACTCAGGGGTCTAGGAAACTGAGAATGTATATGAACCAGATGTTCTACAAAATAAGCCTTATGTGCATGATGCGCTTCATTGTTTCCTTCTTCAACCTTCCATTTTTGAAATGCTGCTGTAGGTCGGGAGACAAAGAAAGGGATCTTAACAGCCCATGGTTCCTGTCTGCGGGGCAGGAGTGAGCCCACACTTGGGTCCTTTCTCTGCAGGAAAGGCGGGAGATTTTTGAGCAGCACCTGAAGAGCCTGAAGCTGACCCAGGCCAGCAGCTTTTACTCACAGCGTCTGGCAGAGCTCACGCCGGGGTTCAGCGGTATGGAAGCTGGTTCCTGCTAGTCCTGAGGGTGCAGGCCACCCCCCGGTGCCCTACACCCCCTGCTCTGGGCCCCATGGTCAGCACAGCCGGGGCGGGAGTGAGGTCGTGCACAGAGAGCCCGTAGAGGAGAAAAGAGCCACGCTACACTTTGCTTTTCCTGCGTGAGTGGCGCCAGACCCGACTGGTTCTGCTGCGGCATGCAGGGCGCACTGTGCCTGTGCCCCCATGGGCGCTCCGGGCACTTCCGCCCGCGGGACTCTGCACATTGGCCCTTCAGTGCCTCTCCACGCTCGGGCTGTGTACCACTGCTCCCTGCAAGGCAATGCCATCCGAGGCCTCGTGGCTGTCCGAGCGCACCACGGCCCTCCTCACGGTTTGTTCTCATTGAGCAGAGACAGGTCACAAATCAAGATATTTTCTGTATGGCTCTCATTTTAAAGGGTAATATAAACAAAATCCCTTTTACTATAATTTCTTCCCTTTGGATTCTTCTTTAATGCCCTTAACTAGAATTGCATGGGTACTGGAGCATGAATTCCCAGGGAGAATGAGACGGCAGGTGGTGCTGAGCATGCCAATGGGCCCTGAGCAGGAAAGAGCTTGGAGGTGGCAGGAGGTGGGACCACACAAGGCTGTGCTCCGGGTCTGTTAGTGGCGTGAGTGGCTTCAGCATAGGACAGAAGCGCCTTCTGCGTGCTCTCAGCCTCCTGCCCACGCCCCCCTCCCCCGCCCCCCCCCTCACCCCTACTATGCGGACAGGTGCTGACATCGCCAACATCTGTAACGAGGCCGCGCTGCACGCCGCACGGGAAGGGCACACGTCCGTCCACACGTTTAACTTCGAGTACGCTGTGGAACGGGTCATTGCTGGTACGAGGGGCATGTTCTCAGCAGGGCTGGATCCCCGAAAGCACCCAGACAGAAGAGGGGGTGGAGGGAGCCAGGTCAGGCTGACACGTGACAGAAGTGATCAGCGAAGAATTACTGGACAAGAGAACTATAAGGAAAGTGTTTCTATTTTTGTAAGTCGGGTTGTTCCAATGTGTCTGACTTCTCCTTAGTTTAAAATACCAGGCATATGCTGAAGAGCAGACACTCTCTTCAGGTAAAAACACAAGGATCTCGCACACGCAAGTGTGAGTGGCGCTCAGCCCCTCAGCTGTCAATGGTGCCTCGGAGCAGACCACACAGGGCACCATCCACGTTGTGGGGTCCCGGCCGCCGCTGCTGGGGGACAGAGGGTCTCCTAAGAGCTACGCTCTGCTGCCTGGCCCGTCTCTGCTCTGGGTAGCAACAGGAGGGGTCTTGGCGGCGGGGCGGGGAGGGGGGCCTTCCAGCAGAGCTCAACGGTGGCTACTCAAAGTGGGGTCCCTGGGTTTCTGTCAGGAGAGTGGGATTGAAACTGAGCATCTCCAGAAGTTTCCACGGCCCCACGTGTCTTGTCCTTGTGAGCAGTGTTCAGTCCAAGACACTGAGAGTTTTTTAAAGAGGGAAACTGTTCATTCCCATGGAAGTGTGAGAAGCACCGGCCTTGCGTGTGGGTGGGGAGCGTCTGCAAGGGGCTCATCCCTGTCACTCCCGGCTGAGCTAAAATCTGGTACAGATGCCACCAGGTGTCCAGGCTGCAGCTTAGGAGTCTGTGTGGACAGAAGGATCGAAAGTGGCTGTTTCGTACTACAAACTTGGCTTCATATAAGCCACTCTGTTTATGTGGAAGTTGATAAACTCACACTGATAGGGTCAAAGCGAGAAAGACGGAAGTGCTGCCCATGCTGGTGCGGCCTACCTGAGCTAGAGCACTCGGGTTCACGTACAGCCCATCCCGCAGCCTGTGGCCTCCGGTCCAGATGCTCAGAACCAGCGTTGCAGTAGACGGAGATGGATGACCCTCGAAGCACACAGCCAGACCCAGAGCTGGTCCAGGCTGTATAAAACGGGAACACAGGAAGGTGTGGGGACCCTGGGCTGCGGAGAGAAGCCTCCGCAGTAGCTCAGACGAGATAGATGGACTAGAATCTCAAGGTGGGAAGCGGTCAGCTAGCAAGGGCCTGCAGCTTCCAGCAAGTCCGGGGGAAGAGCCTCTGCGAAGCCTGGACCTGGGTGGGGACCCCATCTAATCACAGCGGCCCTGTGCCCCGTGGGCCCCTGAGGGTGGGCACTCGTAAAGCCTGCAGGAGCTGGTCTACTCTCCCTGGCATTCACAGAAGTAGAAACAAACAGGGACCGTCCAGCATCTCTCCCCTCACGAGGAACAGTTCGGGGTGCTGGCTTGGGGCGGAGGCACAGGAGGTGAATGTCAGGCACCATACTGCTTTGATGGCACGGGGTGCAGCTCTGTGAGGCCAAGGGAGTCCCGGCACGCTTACCTAGGATCACCTGTGTGCCCAAACTCAAATCCTTGTGCATCCTTCCAGGGACTGCCAAAAAGAGCAAGATCCTGTCAAAGGAAGAACAGAAGGTGGTTGCGTTTCATGAGTCGGGCCATGCCCTGGTCGGCTGGTTGCTGGAGCATACCGAGGCCGTCATGAAGGTAGGGTGTCTGCGTTGGGTGGGTCTGGGGTCTCGGTGGCTGTAAGCCCAACTCACCCTTGAACAAAGCTGACTTTGGAAGCACCATGTGTGGGTTTTGATTTTTTTGTTTTTTTAAGATTTTATTTATTTGACAGAGGGACACAGCGAGAGAGGGAACACAAGCAGGGGGAGTGGGAGAGGGAGAAGCAGGCTCCCCGTGGAGCAGGGAGCCCAATGCGGAGCTCGATCCCAGGACCCTGGGATCATGACCTGAGCCGAAGGCAGACGCTTAACGACTAAGCCACCCAGGCGCCCTGCACCGTGTGTGTTTTTACTTGAAGAGAAAGCGCAGTGTGAGCTGGACATGGGCACAGGGCAGGAGGTGATGGTGCGGGATCCCCTCATCCTCAGAAGCAAAGGACAGGAGGTCTTAAGTGGGCTCTAGTTTTGGGATGTGACCATTGCAGTCACACAATAACTTGGGGTCTCTTTCTGCCATCTACACAGTTACTCTCGGAATTAAGAATTGCCGTGTTTACTAAAAGTGTTGATGTGGTGACCCCTAACCTTAAAAATCAGTGAGTTTGGTTCACATTAAAAAAATACCACTCTTGGAGGCATTTGTGATTTGACGAAAATTTATTAGGATCCGCTGCTAACATCAGAACAACTCCCCGAGAATGTGGGTGCAGATTTTACGGTGCCTTCCACACAGACCTGACGCACGGCCCGGAGAAGAGCCGCGCATGTGCTCTGGTCCCACAGTGCGGGGAGGGGGCCACAGCACCGCTCGTCCCTGACACCAGCAGTGGGACGTGGCAGTCACCAGCCTGGCACGTTGGCATTTACGCCCTTCTTTTCAGAAGGGTTCGTTACAGCCATGTAGACAGTCTGCCGGTGTCTGACAATGCCTGTGGATCAGGCCAGCTCCTCTTACACTCAGCGGCAGGCAGGGAGTCCAGTGTCTGGTGATAGACGGGGGGATGCCGCCATCACTGATGATCTGGGCCAGGCCGAGGGTGAGGAAGGCAGGGTTCAAGGTAGGTACTTTAATGCAGTAGCTCAAAAACTAAAAAATTAATGCAGAAAAATCCCAAATGAAGTAAATATAACTTAAAACTTGCTGTTCTTAGAATTTTCACTGCATGTAATGTCTAAAAGATACATCTGTTGGGGGCGTCTGGGTGGCTCAGTCGTTAAGCATCTGCCTTCGGCTCAGGTCATGATCACAGAGTCCTGGGATCGAGCCCCACATCGGGCTCTCTGCTCCGCGGGAGGCCTGCTTCTCCCTCTGCCTGCCACTTGCCCTGCTTGTGCTCTCTCTCTCTCTCTCTGTCAAATAAATAAATAAAATATTTAAAAAATAAAATAAAAAATACATCTGTCGTAATGAGACCCCCACCCCCACCCCCCGGCCCTGAGGCTGGCTACTCAGGGGAAGGTGGTGAAGTCCCAGCTACTGATATGGTCATTCTTTACAGCCGTTTACATTGTAATTTGCCTCAGTGTTGGATTTAAGTTTCCTCTTCAAATTTTCCGGGCACTAGGAGCTGGTCATCCTGCTGCCCGGGGCCCCACTGGCTGCTCATGCGGCAGGTCCTGCTCTGCTGCACGCCCCCCCCCCCGCCCCCCCGCCATGTGTGCATCTGCCGTTGGGCTGCTGGGGGGGGCAGAGCGGCAAGAATAGTCTCCACTGTCCTTGGTGTCCCCAAGCCGGCGTCTCCGCGGGTTCGTGTGGTGCCCATCTGTGCCATTGTGCTTTACTTCATGTACCCGTTGGGGTGCCCAACCGCGTGTGAGCTGTCCTTCTTCAGTGACAGGGTTCTCCTTTGCTATAAAAATGGGGCCGGTACAGATTTGCTCTAACTGCTTTGAAAGCCTCCCATTAAAGATCCGTCACACCTTCCCCCCCCTTCATCTTTAAAGTGCGAATCCTGCCCGCTCACTCGGGCCGCGTGACACTCTGCAGGTCTCCATTGCGCCACGGACAAATGCAGCACTGGGCTTTGCTCAGATGCTTCCGAGAGACCAGCACCTCTTCACCAAGGAGCAGCTGTTTGAGCGCATGTGCATGGCCTTGGGCGGCCGCGTGTCCGAAAGCATCTCCTTCAACAAAGTCACTTCTGGTGAGAAGCCAGCCCGTGCGGGTCCTGGAGTTCTCCAAGTGCTTTCACACCCACTGTCTCCTGCGTGGGGGTGGGAGGGCGAATCTGAGGGAGGAATTTGAATAGTGGGACAGTTTCAGTCAGCGTTCTCAAGCTGTCACTTCACTGGGATGTCCAGAGAGGAAGTCGAGACGTTCCTCACTTGTTCCCAGTGACACTGAGGTTCAGTGTTGACAGCTATGCTGGAGCAGAGTGGGACATGGGCTGGAGAGTGCCAGGGGAGCGAACCCACATGTGCATCCCAGGTAGTAACTCAGAGTCGTAAGACAGGATACACTTGTCTCCTGGGTCCTTTGCCTGTGCCGGGGGTGGGGGAAGGGCGTGCCCTGACTTGGCCCTTCCAGGAAAGAAACCTCTTTCTTGACCCCCACACTCCAGGGGCTCAGGACGACCTGAGGAAGGTCACACGCATAGCCTATTCCATGGTGAAGCAGTTTGGGATGGCGCCAAGCATCGGGCCCGTCTCCTTTCCCGAGGCGCAGGAGGGCCTCACGGGCATTGGACGGCGCCCCTTCAGCCAGGGCCTGCAGCAGATGATGGACCACGTGAGTCTGCACCGCTTGCTCGGCGTGGGCTGCATCCATACTGCGATGGGGTTAGGGCATGGGTCTCTCTTGGGTGCTGGCGCCGTGCCCTCTGCCACACCGAGCAGAGTGCGCTGTCGTGGGGTCCTCATCAAAGGCATTCCAATCCTGACACTGAGTGAGTGTCTGTTCTTGGGTGAGGACTTGTGTGGCTTCTGGTGAAACTGTCCGTGACGTGACACTAGGAAGGAAACAGAAGAGATGCCCCAGTGATACCGCGGTGCCCCATGGTCGCTGCACCTGCAGGACACGCTGCGTGCTCCACGGGAGACGGGGCCAGGGCGGGTGCACGTGGGAGGGGGCCTCGGGCCCGGAGGACAGAGCTGAGGGGCACTCCCAGGGCACGGGGTAGGGGCAGCCGAGCTCTCCTGGCCATGATGAGAGAAAAGCTGCGTTCCTGTCCCTGCGGCTCCTTTGTGAGCTCTGGCGCCAGGATCTGGCTACACAGGACGTGGTGAGTGTGGTGGGCCACCCTGCGCATGACCCAGCTGCTCTCTTCCGTTGGCAGGAAGCAAAGCTGCTGGTGGCAAAGGCCTACAGGCACACGGAGAAGGTGCTGCAGGAAAACCTGGACAAGCTGCAGGCGGTGAGGTTCTGGGCGCCAGGCCTGTCCCTGCAGAGTCGTCACTACACGCTCCTCATGGGAGTCCTCCCGGCACACACAGCCGCAGAGAACGTGTCCGCTGCGTGCTCCACCCAGCTCAGCTGAAACCTCCCATTTCTCATACCTCCTCCTCAGCTTCTTCCTGTGAACACGTCAAGCCAGTCCCTTGAAGCAGGCAGAAGAACGTAGTACTAAGTGTGTGGTCGGCCTCACTTACTCTTTCCCAGCTCTTAAGTTTTTCCTACAGTTTTTATTTTTTAAGTAATCTCTGTGCCAAACGTGGGGCTCAAACTCTCATCCCCGACATCAAGAGCTGCAGGTTCAGGAGCGCCCGGGTGGCTCTGTCGGTTACACGTCTGACTTGATTTCGGCTCAGGTCCTGATCTCATGCATGCTGTGTCCTCAGAGGGTTGCTCCCAGACGAGCAGCACCTGCCTCCCCAGGGCGTGTGTGAGCAGTGCAGGGACTGAGCCAGAATCGGCTGTTAACAAGGCCCGATTGCCACACGTGTGCAGGACTCAGGCTCCCTGTGCAGGGGCCCAGGACGTCCCGCCTCTGCCCCGTTGGTGGGTCACAGGGCTGAGCAACATACCAGACCTGGCCTGCGGACAAAGCGGCCGCGCCCATCAAGGGTACTTGGGACTTAGTTCCTTGTGTCCGAGACTGAGCCGTCAGGACGGGCTGCTGGTGCAGCGCGCGCACACAGTCCATTCAGCATGTTCTCCACGACCACATCTAGAGAGGCTGAGGCTCCCTTCCCACACCAGCTCCCTTGTCCCTACAGTCCAGCCTCCCCTTGCTCCCCCACGTGCAGACACACACACCTTGTTTGGTAAAGGGAGTTGAAGTTGCCCCAGAAAACAGACTTGGAAGGGAAGCAGAAAAATTAATGAGGCTGGCAGCTGGGAGAACATCTCCAAGGTCGAGACAGGGAGGGATTCTTTACTTGAGCTGCCTGCTTACGCTGCTTCCCTGGGAAAGCGGCCTGCCCGGGGCATCCTGCTCACAGACACCCCCTCTCTCCTGGGTGCTCCGCTCTCAAAAGGCCCTTCTGTGTCCTTGTCTGGGGCTCACACACTGCCCTGTTTGTTCCCTCAGCTGGCGAATGCCCTGTTGGAGAAGGAAGTGATAAACTACGAGGATATCGAGGCCCTCATCGGTCCACCACCTCACGGGCCCAAGAAGATGATCGCTCCTCAGAGGTGGAGTGACGCAGAGAGGGAGAAGCAAGACGTGGGGGAGGAGGAGGCACCTCAGCAGCCCCCACTTCAAGGGGAGGAGCCGTCTTGGCCCAAGTAGTTAGACCTCCTTGATTGTGCCTTGGGATGTGGTGTTCCTGCCGGACGCAGGAGGGGAACACCTTACTCAAACCCACTGAGATTTGTACCTCCTCGTAGCCCTCACTGGTCTCTGAAAGGCTTCTGAGATCTATTTACTGACTTCCCTCCCTGTGAGTAGTAAATGTCCCTGCAGACGATTTAGCTCTGGTTTGTAGATCATTTTCCCCGTGGGGAGGGTTATCCGTGCTGGGTGCAGGTGCGCATGTGGATCTCAAGCTCCCAGGTTGGTGACGCTGTCGTTTTGTGGGCGCTGAGAGATCCAGGGGCAGCGCAGCATCCGGGCCCCAAGCAGCTTGTTGCCTGGCGCGTGTGCAGGGGCTGTCTTCAGCTCCTCTGACTTCGTCGGAGTGCTTGACAGCATCTGCGGTGAAAGGCCCCCCTGAGCTGCCTGCTGCCATCCTCCCTCGCTGGGCCCCGTCCCTGTGCTCACGCACCCACGGGGTCAGCGCTGGGGACAGCAGTGGGCTCTAGAGCATGAAAACACTGCCACCTACTGCTGTATGGATGCGAGCACGACAGCCTCTCCTCGCGGGTCTGGCTTCCGCGTGCGGGTGGGGAGGGGACAGACATCCTGAGACCTGCTGCGGTACTTTCTAGGCAATTCTGTGGGCGGAAAGTCCATCTTTGCACCACACGACCAGCTGTAACCCAACAAAGGGTCATGTGTTTCGGTTTATAATTTCAGCCACATGATAACCGGTTGAAGAGCCCCTTTTGTAGGAATCTGGGGTAAAGGCTGTAGGACACCCCCTCACTGCAGCAAGTGGGGTGCACTCGGCTCCTTGTCCCCAGGGGTGTGCAGCACGCACTCAGGTGCGAGCACCTGCTGCTCTCATTGCTTCTGCCTTCCCTGCAGTGGCACTTCCTGACAGAATGGGGTGTTCTGCTGCCCGTCCCACAGTCAATGGCAGCATGTGGGCAGGTACAGGTCACACCTGAGGGAGGGCAGCTCTGACAGCACACTCGTGCTTTGACCCCAGTTCCCCAAATTCGTTTCCAAAGATGGGCATGTGGTTAGGAGGGCTCTGGTCTCTGTGCCCAGGGCGGCACCCTCAGTACCCTAACAGTGGATGTGGTCAAGCTCATCCCCGCTGTACTTGACCATTAAAGTGGCCTTTGCTGTGTGCCAGAAGATACTTAGGAATCGAATGTAAATGGCATGGAAAGTGGCCCCCTCACCCTAGTGGAGACCAGTGCAGCCTGTCTCCCTAGCACTCATAGATGTGAGCAGGCTCACAGCCACACCGGGAGGGAATCTCTCTGTGCTGACAGGTAGAAGCCAGGTGTTTGCCAACTTTGGTCCTCCAACTGGTCCTGAGTGATGTCACCTCCAGGTCATCAGATATCTAGTACTCAAGAAGAGTGCCAGAAGTTCTACCTCCCCCGCTACCTCCTCATGGACTGAGCCTGCCTCTCACCTCCCATAAGGAGCCTTCTCCAACTGCACGTGGGTCCGTGAGCAGCCAGACCACACTGGGCAGCCTGTGTGCTCAACGCTGGAGCTGCAGCCCTGACCCTCTGCCCTCCCCCTGGCACAGCCTGTATAACACGGCCTGACTGTAGCTTCTGGAACACACTGAGAAAGACACATTTTTGTTAGTAATCTCTACACCACCCCAACGTGGGGCTCGAACTCACGGCCTGGAGATCAAAAGTCACATGCTCTCCTGACTGAGCCACCGGGCACCCCGAGAAAGACAAATGCCTTTTTAAGTAAACACGTATATTTAACGCAATCATCCTCAGAAGACAGGAAAGTACTAAGAGAAATTAACATATGTTCCTAAATAATACAAACTGTTCTCCACTGTAATGTATACTCATCAACAAACACTTATGATTGTTTTGTTATGCTCATTCAAGGCTTATTTTTTGTTTTGGTATAAATGATGCACATCATATTAGTTTCAGGTGTACAATACAACGATGCAACATTCGTGCCTATTGCAGAATGATCACAATAGGCCTAGTTAACACCTGTCGTCATGCAGGTATTTTCTACGGTGAGAACTTTTAAGATCGTACTCTAAGCAACTTTTAAATAAAACATTCATGATTATAATTCTAATATTCTTCCTGTCGCCTTTCACTGACCGCAAGCGTTCCTTCAGGTTAGGGATCTCTGAGTTAGCCTACAGTTGATCTTTGTGTAGGCCACAATTCTGGACAGCTGAGATGCTGGAGAGTTGGGGTTCTGTGATTAAGCAGCAAACATTATCCTGTCCTAGCTGTTACTGGGCTACTGCTTTTCCTAACTCAACATATTTATATGCCATATTAATACGACATAGCATGCTAGTTTTTGCATAGTGTTCTGGGATATATCTTTTAGCCCCAAAAAACACGATAAAATCACTTTGCTGCTATGATACTAATTTAAGAACTCAAGGTGTATGTCTGAGAGGGCTCCACACACTACTGCTGAATGTTTAAGTGGGATTTCTTTGAAGCCAACACCCACAGCATCGGTGGGAGGACACCAGTCAGGTACAGGTACTGAATGAGCAGGCTCTGCTGTGAGGAACGGGCTCAGTCTTGCAAGGAAATTCTGGGAAGCTGTCCTGAGCTCCTCCCACACCTTCAGGGATGTCCACCCAGGAATCGCTGGCCACCTTGAGTGCAGTTCCCAGGGGTATTAGCAAGCTCTTTCAGTGGCCCTTACAGGCCAAAGTTGGGGACAAAAGCCTGGAGCAGAGCCGTGGCTGTGGAATTCTGTGCCCAGGACAGGGCCTGTCCCTATAGCTACTGATTTCTAAAATGCTTGAGCCAGCCAAGTCTTTGTATCAGAAGGACTCCTGCTTAATAGTTGACAACAACGTTCACTCTTCTTTTCCAACAAGAAAGCCGAGCCCGTCCCCAGCAGGATTTCACATCAGAACCAGTTTCACTGGGCGCCTGGGTGGCTCAGTCGGTTAAGCGGCTGCCTTCGGCTCGGCTCATGATCCCGGGGTCCTGGGATCGAGTCCCTCATCGGGCTCCCCGCTCTGCGGGGAGCCTGCTTCTCCCTCTCCCTCTGCCTACTTGTGTTCTCTATCTCTCTGTCAAATAAATAAATAAAATCTTTAAAAAAAAAAAAAAGAACCAGTTTCACCTCAATATTCTGCACACTTTCCAAAGGAAGTAAGTGTGTGGAGTATTCAAGCATGGGATACTGGAATCTGCAATCTGGCATGGTGTGTGCTGGAGACCAAGATTTTTGAATTACAACTTCACTTTCTTACCACTAACTTGATTTCTGAGCAGTGTTTCTATTTTCAGACCTCTGTCCCCCAACCAGTGACCCACAGCCACATCTCAACTATGAGCGGCTGGAGCGCAGGTGGAGATGTGGGTCGGGGCAGATGGAACTGCATGAGTCTGGGAGTCTGTCCAGAAAGAGAAATTGCAGGTAGGGACAGGAATGTGTTGGAGATTAGTAAGAGCAATGATCCACTGAAAGGGGTCTGAGAAAGACATGGGAGGTGAGGCTACCATTTGATAGATCGTATTCAAAGAAATACGGCATGGGCCAAGGCAAGTGTTTATTCAACAAGTGTTTTCTCCGGCATCGCTCTGCTGCAGTTACGTTGCCACAACAGAGTGTGGGTTCAAGCTCCAGTGCCACTCAAAAAAAGTGAAATGAGATGGGGGAGAGTCCGTCTCAAGGTTTCTGTGAGCACTGAATGAGGGACCATCCGCTCTCTTCCATGCTCCTCTCCTGCACCCCTTTGCCACAGCGGCTCCTAATACATCACACGGAAGCAGAGCCGTGTGTGGTTCTCATCCCGTGCCGGGCGCTGTGCTGTGTTCCGTGGCCTGAACACAGCCAGTCGTCCCACTTCACAGAAGGGAAAAGTTAAATAATGGGCCCAACGCCTCGAAACTAGTACAAACGTAGAACCCAAGCCAACCGCACAGCCTCTTTCTTAGTGACTGGTCACTGACCCTCCAGTTTAGCCCATCTGCGTTCACGAAAGTGGCAGAGACCAAAGAGATTTTAAACTTCCCCTTCACTTCACAGACACATACGCTTCCAAGTTTGTGAGAGGTGCTTTCGCTAACCGCCTTGCATTTGCTAACACCTGCCGCTAAAGCAGGCCTGATCTAGTCCTTGTTTCCTCACTGAGCAGGTATTTTTTTATTTTTTTATTATTTTTTTTAAAGATTTTATTTATTTATTTGACAGAGAGAAAGACAGCCAGAGAGGGAACACAAGCCGGGGGGGAGGGGAGAGGGAGAAGCAGGCCTCCCGCCGAGCAGGGAGCCCGATGCGATGCGGGGCTCGATCCCAGGACCCCGGGATCATGACCGGAGCCCAAGGCGGACGCTTAACGACTGAGCCACCCAGGCGCCCTGAGCAGGTACTTATTAAAGGCAGGGCCAGGGCTGGAACTCTGCACGTAGGCTCAGTGCGTCCGAACAGACCGCAAGGGCCCCATAGATGACACACGTTCTGCGTCCCTGGCCCAACCCGGTAATCCCTCAGTGCATCCCAACCCGATCTTTCTAACACCAAGGGCGTCTCAACGGGGAAAAACGCTTTATCAGCAGCACACAAGCCCCCAAACGTCCCACTCAGTGTCACGAAATTCTTCGAATGTTCGGTCTTATGAGGAGCCTGGCGCTCGGGGCGGGGGTGGAAAGAAGGGCTCCTGGGGCGGAAAGGCGGTTTCCTAGACGCGCCCTGGAGAAGAGGAGACGCGCGGGGCACGGGGCACGGGGCACGGAGGTCCACCCGGCAACTCGGCATCTTTCAGGACGCTCGTCTCGTGCAGGCGGCCGTCTGCGGCCGACCCCGCATTCGGCGCAGCCGCCCGACCTCGGGGGTCCGCCAAGTAGAGGCGGCTGCGCGGCGCCGCGTGAAAACGCATGTGAAGAACTCTGCCCCTGAGAGAAAGGGCTCGGCACGGGTCAGTTCCGTGTAAAGAAAGCAGCGCAAGGGGCGCCTGGGTGGCTCCGGCGGTTGAGCGTCCGCCTTCGGCTCAGGTCGTGGTCCCGGGGACCTGGGATCGATCCCCGGCCCGGGCTCCCTGCTCGGCGGGAGCCTGCTTCTCCCTCTGCCGCTGCCGCTAGTGCTCTCGCGCGCGCGCTCTCCCTCTTCAAATAAATAAATAAATACGTTTTTTGAAGAGACGAGTACAAATGTTCGAAAAAGACGGAAAGCGCAAAGACCGGAACGCGGACGCGACGTTCCAGGGCTGGGGCACGTACCGAGTCCCGCGACGCGCGGACGCCGGAAAGACGGCACTTGCAGCGCCGCCGCTCTCCTCGGGCCTGGCCGTTCCTCTTCCAGAGCCGCGGGGTCCCTCAGCCGCCCGCCGTGGGCCCAGCACGGCTCCGCTTCCAGAGCGCCGCGGGCGGGAGGCGCCATGTTCGCCCAGGGCCGGGAGGGCGTGCACGTCACTTCCGCGACCCCCGGCTCTGATTGGGCAGAGAGCTCCGGCGCTTTCGATTGGCTGAGCCCAGCACCATCCCAGGGTGCTTTGCGGCGCCCGTCCTTTTCCGCTGGCCGTTCTCCTCCGGAGGAGGTGAGTGTGCGGGGTCCGGGCGCCGTTGGCGGCATCGGGCCGCATCCGCTGCCATCCGCTGCCATCCGCTGCCATCGGCGTAGGGCTGCTCCGGGCGCGGCCACAGAGGGGCTCCGGGCCCGCGCCGCGGACGGGAGAGGGCCGTGCCCGGGCCCTGACTCGCTCCCCGCGCCCCCAGGCCCCTAGGCGGCGGCCATGGCGCCCAGCCGCAATGGCATGATCCTGAAGCCCCACTTCCACAAGGACTGGCAGCGGCGCGTGGCCACGTGGTTCAACCAGCCGGCGCGCAAGATCCGCAGGTGAGCCGCGGGGCGGCGTGGACGGGGCGGGCGCCGGCGGGGCGGCGGGGGCCCGCGGGGCGGCGGGGACGGGGCGGGCGCCGGCGGGGCGGCGTGGACGCGGGGGCTGAGCGCGCCGACCGCTCTGTGCGCAGACGCAAGGCCCGGCAGGCCAGGGCCCGCCGCATCGCCCCGCGCCCCGCGTCCGGGCCCATCCGGCCCGTCGTGCGCTGCCCCACGGTGCGGTACCACACCCGAGTGCGAGCCGGCAGGGGCTTCAGCCTGGAGGAGCTGCGGGTGAGTGGGGGCGCAGCCGCGCGGGGGCTCGGGGGCTCGGGGCTCGGGCGCTCGCAGTCCGTGATGACGGTCTCCGGAATCGCTGTACTCCGTGATGAAAGTACGCTGAACCCTTTTCCATCTGACGGCTGAGCGCCCGGCGGCCGCGCGGCGCCGCGGGGGCCCCGGGGGCTTCATCGTGTGTGTGTCGGGGCAGGTGGCCGGCATCCACAAGAAGGTGGCCCGGACCATCGGGATCTCGGTGGACCCGAGGCGGCGGAACAAGTCCACGGAGTCGCTGCAGGCCAACGTGCAGCGGCTGAAGGAGTACCGCTCCAAGCTCATCCTCTTCCCCCGGAAGCCGTCGGCGCCCAAGAAGGGCGACAGCTCGGTGAGTGCGCCGGGGTCCGGGCGGGAGGGCCTGCCCCCCCCCACGCACGGGGCGCACGGGGCGCGGAGGAGGAGGCGGCGGCGGCCCCCAGAATCCACGCCGGCAGGCGTGACGTCAGGCGGAGGCTGTTCGGCTGCAGGCTGGGTTTCTGGGTGTCAGCCTGAAGGCGTGCGTTTCCTAACGTGCTTCACAGAGCGCTGGCTTCCTAGGAGTTGGCGTGCTGCGTGGCCCCGCGCGCCGGCAGCCCGCTTGGGGGTTCACACGTGGCGGGTCTGGGCTGTGCTTCCGCGGTCAGCTGCCGGGGCAGGGACCCAGGCCCACCACCTGTGCGCAGCAGTGGGCGGGGACATCGGCAAGAAGGGGGCGCTGTAAGCTTGCGGCCCTTGGGTGTGCGGTCTGAGCCCAGGTGACTTCTTCAAACAGGCGGAAGAACTCAAGTTGGCTACCCAGCTGACGGGGCCGGTCATGCCCATACGGAACGTAAGTGGGGGTGTCTGGAGGGTCAACCGGTGGATGCTTTGGGGCGGGGCTTGAGTTGAAGGGTGGCAGCCGGGGTCTCTGGAAAGTTCTACAGGTTTGTGAAAAAGAATGCCTTGACTCAGGGAGGAACGTTATCGTGCATTCTTAGCAGCTGGGTTTCTTGAGGGAGGGCCTTGCCCTCATCTTTGGGGACTCGCTTGTCACAGACACACGCTTGTCACAGACACACGCTTCTCACCATTTGGAAAGGCCAGGTCACTCCCTGGACACGTCGCTGGTGATCCCACAAATGACTGGGCCCTTGAGGGTCTTCTGGCAGGAGAGGTGGGCCCAGGACTGCGCACATCTGAGGTGGTTGCTTCTACCGTGTGCCTGGGGTGACGTTCCAGGTCATGTCATTCTAGACTGTCCTTAGTGGCCTCAGTGTGGCCTTGCAGCAGTGGGCAGGCAGACCTAGCCTGTTACCTCCTCCTGCAAGGCTGCTGCTGACATTAGGTCCCAGGCAAGGGTTTGACGCCCCCTGTGCCCCGGTCCAGGTCTACAAGAAGGAGAAAGCCAGAGTCCTCACAGAGGAGGAGAAGAGCTTCAAGGCCTTCGCCAGTCTTCGCATGGCCCGTGCCAATGCCCGGCTGTTTGGCATCCGGGCCAAAAGGGCCAAGGAAGCTGCAGAACAGGACGTTGAAAAGAAAAAATAAAGTGCAGTTAACAACTCGTGATACCTGTGGTGTCCATGTGATCCTGGTCTCCTCGGGTTGGGGGCAAGAACTTGGGGACCTGCGACCTGGCCGGAGGGACGGCATATTTGCAGGGCACCATTTTACTGTCTATGCCTTAGGACTGTTGACTGAGTAACTCGAGTACCTTTCTGGTGGAGGTGTTGCGGAGAGTAATTGTTACCAGGGTAGTTGCAATTGAGCATTTGGGATTTGGGGCCAGATCCTCCTGGGCCTGTCTGTGCTTACGCATGCAGGCTCTGGTGTGGACGGCTGGGGTTGGGCTGCCCAGAACCCGTTTTCAGGCTACTGTGCCTGTGTGGCAGCTAGACGGCCAGGGCAGCCCAAGTGCCCACGCCCGAGGAAGGCTGAAGGCTGGACCCCATGTGGCAGCACCCCTGTTCTTTGAAACCAAACCACTGTGTGGTTTCTGCAAGTGAGATGCTGAGATGGGGCCCTGGCAGGGCCTGCTGTGAGGATCCGTTATGGGGGCCGTAAGGTGTGGATGTCCCCTGCACCGACCGGTTCCTGTTGGGAACGAAATCCCTGGTAGGTTTTCATCTAAACAGATGATTTGGAGGGTTATCTTTTTCACGTCTGAAGTGGTGCTTATGGGGTACTGATTTCCATGCTCCTTTTCTGCATTTGGAAGTTGTGGAGGGACCAGGGGCCCTAGCTGCGTCCCTCACAATCCCAGGCAGAGGGAATGAGGTGGGGCTGCCTCTGGGTGGCCCGGTGGCTGCAGGCTCAACCTTCCCTGTGGCAGGTGGCTCTTCCTGGTGCCAGATCCCTGGCTGTGGTCTTCGCAGGTTGGGGAGCCCAGGCCTCCAGGTCAGTGCAGGGCAGGGGCTCCTGTGCTCTAGGCTCGGGGGTGAGGGGGAGAAACATTCACGTCCCCTTCTGGCGTTGTGCCACCAGAGTGAAGGGCCTTCCCGGATGCAAGAAGCGCCTGGAACAGGCCAGGCACCTGCTGGTGAGTATGCTGGAGAAAGTCTTGGGGAGGGGCCCGGGCTGTAGGACCCTGTCCACTGGGCCATCAACACTTCTCAACTTGTCCAGTGGTGGTGGCAGCTCTGCTGGGTCACCTTGACTAGGCCGCTTCTCCGAGTCCCGCTCCATCCCTCAGCTCAGTGCCATGGGTGTTTGGTAAGTTAGATGTGCCATCTGGTGAAGCCGGGCAGGAAGTAAGCTTCATCCTGTGTACCTGGGGCCCGTGAACCAACAGGAGGTTCAAGGAGGCTTTGGAAGGTGCCAGGGCCCAACCGCTGGATCCACCCTAGACTCCCTGACCTCAGGCTGTGAGGAATGACACCTCCCTACAGTCCGGAGTGCTCTTGGCAGGTTCGTAGATGTTTGTGTCAGCTGGGACTGAACCAGGGACCCTTATGGGAGTCTGGTACGGGACGTGATTGTGGGTGGGGAGCTCAGCTGGTCCGAGCTGTGGCGCCGTTGGGGAAGCAGTGAGCCCCAGCCCAGCCAGTCCTGAGGCTGAGGAAGTCTCCCTGTGAGGTGCTGCTGACCAGCGTCCAAACCCCAAATGATGCTGGTGCCCTGGTGAAGCCCTGGGTCGTGACCAAGACCTTGTAACTGGGGAGACAGACTGAGCGTGAACTCACACTTGGTAGGGATGTAGGTGCTGAACGGGGGCTGGAAGACTGCTCCTTCTGTGTCTGTGTCTGCTCCAAGGCAGCGCTCGCCACCGCCAGGGTGAGAGGGTCCTTTGTCCACGGGCCATCCCCTGGCCCTGGGGTAGCAGGATTCTGCTACCTGGAGGATTTCTCCTTGAGTGTGGGCAGAACTGTGCCCGGGAGGGGGCTCCTGACCCCGCTGTGTGTCTGGCAGGGCCAGCCTTGAGGGAGCAGCCGCTGGGGAGCCACAAAGCAACGAGAAAACAGGGCCTCTGTCCTCTCTGGGTGAGGAACTGAATTCTACCAACCAAGGCCTCCCCGGAAATGCCCCTGAGCAGGGAACCCAGCTGTGGTTGGCCTTCACCTGTGTGTGTGGTTAATTCGAAAACCAACCCAAGTGGAGGCACTGTTTCCTTTAACCCTTTCTGCCCCTGGGTGGAAATCCATCAGCAGGCGTGGGCTCCTTATGTGGCCATCGCCCCTCGGAGAAGTGGGTGGGGGTCCAGAGGGTCATCTGTGGGTTGCAGGTGCATCTTGGGGTCAGATTCCCAAAGTGGGTGCAGGGGTGTTGCTAGCGGGGGTATGCAGGCTGGAGCCGCCCACAAGATGGCCCACGGGGCACGTTCACCTCTTTGCCTATTTTCAGATCAGCCTTGCTCTCATAGGAGTTGCAAATATTTTCTCTCAATTCATTATTTTTCTTCTTTCTAATGTGACATTAGGGTTTTTCTGTAATCTTCCCAAGCTGTCTTTTTCCTTTTTTCATTATCTTAAAAGTTACTGTATGGTATTTTTTACTCTGGAGAGAAGATATACGGTGGGTGCCACCTTCCCAGGATGAGTTGCATTTTGAATCTTTATCCTATAGTTGCTTTGTTAAAATATCTACAATTGTGGTATTTTTAAAAGGAAGAACTAAAATTTTTTTAACACTAATTTCCACTTGCTTGAAACTGTTGTGATTTAGAGGAAAACTTAAGTTGTTTTAGATTACTTAGCCTTTTTCCCACTTGACTCCACTCCGTTTGAGCCAGAGAGTAGAAGGGGGTATGAGTGCCTGCAAAGGGCTAAGGGCTCTTTACTTCTTTTCTTGTGTCTCACATGTTCGTTTTTTCATTTGTAGGTAGTTGTACCCATGTTTTCTTTTATGGTTTCTGGGTGTTCACTTATTTATTTTTTCTTTTTTTAAGTTATAGAAGAAAAGCATGCTCTTTGTTAAAAACAAAAAAAAGTACAGGAGAGAAAAGCATAAAAAGTGTCCCTTTTCTACCTCCACCCTCCAAGCCCTTAGAATGACTTGTGCATACGACTTGTGCATCTGCCCACAGTGGTTTATGTGAAGTTATGTTCTCGTATAAACACCTGGGCCTTGGGGCCCCTGGGCGGGACTGTTGATGATGCGTTTTGGCTCAGGTCATGATCTCAGGGTCGTGAGACCGAGCCCCACATCAGGCTTGGGATTCTCTCCCTCTCCTTCTGCCCCTTCCGCTTGTGCTCTTGCTCTCTAAAATGAGTAAACAAATCTTTAAGGAAGAAATAAAACATCTGGACCTTTAGTGTTTGGTTTGGTTTTGTTGGGGGGGCTTTTTTTATGAAAAATGGGGCACCTGGATGGTTCAGTCAGAAGAGTATGTGACTCTTGATACCAGGGTCGTGGGTTCAAGCCCCACGTGGGGTGTAGAGATGACCTAAATAATAAATCAAAAGCACACGGAATCCCACTGTGTGTTGTACCGTATTGTGCCGGCCCACCCGGGTCTCCCTCACTTCTCTCCCATGTCTACAGGGACCCCGTGAAGGGATGGGTGACATTTGGTTTAAACAGTCCTCTGTGGGTGGGGAACACTGGAACGCCGCTGTTTTTGTTTTTAAGATTTTTATTTTATTTGAGAGAGGACATGGGCAGTGGGGTGGGTGGGGTGGGGGGAGCAGAGGCAGAGGGAGAAGCAGCCCACTGCCGAGCAGGGAGCCCGAAGCAGGGCTCCATCCTGGGGTCCTGAAATCATGACCCGAGCTGAAGGCAGACGCTTAGCTGACAGCCGCCCAGCGCCCCTGGAATGCTACTGTTTTAACTTGTATTTTTTATTTGTTTGTGAAGCTAAGCCTCTCTTCTCATATTTGCTGGCAAATTGTCTTTTTTTTGTGTGGTTTGTCTGTCACATCCTTTGTCCATTTTTCTATTATGATGTCTGTCATTTTCTTGAATTGTAGAAGCTCTTTGCATATTAAGGAAATTTGCCTTCTGTCATATGTTGGCAGATTTCTTTCCGGTTTATTCTTTTCCTTTTGAGGCTTGCTTGTATCTTTTTTTTTTTTTTTTTTTTTTTAAGTAATCTCTAGACCCAGCATGGGGCTCGAACTCATGACCTTACGATCAAGAGTCAGATGCTCTACCAACTGAGATTCCCTGAGTCTTGCTTGTACCCTGAGGGTCTGGGCTGGAGAGGGGATGGGGTGCTGTCGTTTAGGAGACAGTGTGGTGTAGTAGGAAGACCACAGCTCAGCCTCTGTAGTGGACGTGGGTTATTCTCTCTGGCTCCTTCGGCGTCAGAATTCACATTGGGAATTTGTTTCTGAGTCTTGTGAGAAGCAGAACTCGCCTCTTTTGTAGGAGCTGGAGGCACTGTACCCCCTGCCCCACCTCCTCGCAGCACCCTGGCCACGTGACCAAGCTCCCTGTCCCCTGTCCCAGGCTGGGTCTCATCCCTGGTGATGCATGCAGCCTCAACATCCTTACCGTGGGCCTGGGCATCACCCCCACCAGTTCGAGGGGTTTCCCAGTGTTTGGTCCTTTGTGGCTCCCTCAGCCAGAATCGGTGCTCTGTTGCTTAGAACAAGACCAGACGTACCCAGCTTGCTGAATCAGGTTTGGCTCTGGGCCAGCCGGGCACTGACCATCCGGGGGACTCCCCTTCAACAAGCACCAAGTGCCAACCGAGTACTAGGAACCACAGGAGGGGGCTGGTACTGGGCCCCAAAAAGTAAGCAGAGCCCGATGATGGGGCAGAAAGATGGGCGGGTGGGCCTGGGAAAGTAGAAAGTGGTGTGGAAGGAGTTCAGTAAGGACAACAGGTGAGGGGAGAAGAGACATTCAAGTATTTATTCAGCACCTACTGTGCTAGGCTGGTCCCAGGCTGTAGGGCAAGCAGGAAACGGCAGAACAAACTACATCCATCCTTGCCTTCCCAGGGTTTTCATTCTGAAGGGTCTCCAGACACAGGCTCTAGCGGGCCCCCTCTCCCCTCACTGTAGTGTCCTGGGCACATATCTGCCTCACAGGTTGTGGGAGGGGACATCAATAATGACAATAAGGGGGCGCCTAGGTGGCCCAGTCGGTGAAGCGTCTGCCTTCAGCTCAGGTCATGATCCCGGGGTCCTGGGATCGAGTCCCACATCGGGCTCCCTGCTTGGCGTGCCGCTGGTCTCTCAAATAAAATCGAAAAGGGGCAGGCTCAGAGTCCCCTGCCAGCAGGGGCCCGCAGCTCCTCTTTCTCCCCATGTGGTCCTGGGACGGGATAGAGAATACACATTGAGCACCTACTGCGTGCTAGGCCCTGGGGGTGCTCTCAGGATGGAGCTGAATGACCCCTCCTCACAGGTAAACGGGGACCTAGAACTGGAACACCGCGGATTCGAAGGCCTGGGCATGGGAAAGGGCTGACCGGGGCAGCCCGCGAGGACCAGCTACCTGTGGCCAGGCCACAGGAGGACTGTCTGGTGGCCTGGGGCCTGGAGAGGGGCCATCGGCACATGAAGAGAGGACTGGCCTTCCAGAGTCTTCTCCAGCCCCACCCCCCAGGAAAGTCTCCGAGTGTGGCCCCCACTTCTGCGTCCACCTTCTCAGGGCTGTGCCTCCAGAACACTGAGGTCTGGGGGTTGCTGCTGGGGGGCCGCGTGGGGCAGGGCGAAGAGGTGTGTTAGACCTGGCTCCCCCGCCCCAGCTGCGGGGCCCTAGCCGGGTGCCCTCCTTCTCCCACCTGTTTCCACAGTGGCAGGGGGACCCCCGGGTCCAGAGTGCTGGGGGCTAGATGGAATGCAGCATAGCGGCTGGTTAGCTCCTGCCTGGGAAGGGGGATGCTTTCCGGGGAGCACAAGGCAAAACTGGGTCAGTGATGAAAGAGACCAGATGTGGCGGTGGTGTCGTCAAAGTTCCATCCAGGCTGCTGGCACCGAGAATATCATCAAAAGCCCCCGGATGAGTCAGGCGGGAGGAAAAGCAGGACGTCCATCTGCTGGAGACGCCAGCGCTGTGGACCCTGCTCCTGCCTGCCACCCCCCGGGACCCTGCAGACAGCTATGTCCTCATGGTCGCCCTGCTCCTGCTCCGGCCCCGCGGGCCCCGCCAGCTGGCGTCCACGCCCTGGTCCAATGCCCCCGCGTGCCGGTGCGTTGGGCCCAGTGGCTTCTACTTGAAGAGAGCAGAAGCGGGCATCAGGCCGAGGTTAGGGTACAGACATTAGGTCGCCGTGGCTCCTTGTGGGTTCTCTCTCTCCCAACCTCCTCCCTACCCCCCAGATCACCTGCCCTGACAAAGCAGGCTTCTGGGGTCCCCAGGCCCAGCCCCGAGCACCTCTCCCTGACCCAGGAGAGGGACAGCTGGTTGTGGACAGCATCTGGACTGTGGCCCTGGGCAGAGGTCCTGGCCGCTTTGTCTGCCTCACCAGGGCTCTGAGGACTCAGCTGATGGCAAAGAGGCTCAGCTGGCCAAGTGCTCCGTGCCCTCACGGTTGGCTGTGACTTTTCAGGGGTGGGGAACAGCAAAGCCCCTGAGACACACTGGGGGGCCAGGATGGGCCAAGAAAGGCTTGAGCACTGTGTTCTGAGAGGAGTCGCAGGGTCCAAGTACAATCCTAGCTCTGTCCCTGCTGTGTGACCTCAGGCAAGGCATCACCCTCTCTGAGCCATGGTCTTGTTGATAACACAGATGACCTCACCTGCGTGGCGGGGACTCAGGGCAGGAGGGGACGGCAACCAGGGACTGAATGTGGGAAGGCACCAAGATAAGGGACACAGCTCCCTTGGAGGAGTCTTGTCAGGGCTCCTGTCTGACCGTGTTTGTGTTCAGGGATGTCTGCCTCTGCGTCCACACCATGTTAGTGTCTGTGTGTGCATGTGTGATCTGTGTGTGGTGTAGGCAGGTTTGTGGGGTGAGGTGAGACCCGCCTTAGTCCCAGCTCTGTGACACGGTGATGACAGGTGGCCACGGGTCCGAGGCCCAGCCAGGACCACAGACCTGTGTTGTCCCAGCCACGGTGGCCCTTCTGGGTGCGGTGGTCTGATTTCTAAAGTAAGATCAATGCCAAATCCTGTAGGAAAACAATCCGATCGAGAAGGTTTCAGATGTTCTGAGATAAAATAGCATTTCTTGGGAGGAAAGAAACAAAGGAAGAGGGTAGGTTTGCAACCAGCTTATAAAAAGAAGCACCCAGCCAGACATGAACCTTGCTCCCTTTCTGAAAATCCTGTTGGTTCCCCCGCCGCACCCCTGTGCTACAGTTTCTACAGTGTCCACACACCTTCCCAAACAACCTCCTGGCTTGCCACATGAGGAGCAGGACCAGGGTGGAGGGGTGTGGCAGGCCGCCTCTCCCCACCTCTCAGTCCCACACTCACACACCGCCTGGGGGGTGACTCCGCTCTCGCCCCCACTTTCCAGGTTGGGAGACAGAGGTGCTGAGTGGTTCTGGAATGTGCTCGAGGCCAGTGCTGTGGGGGTGAGGGCCCGGGAGCCCAGGGAGGGACGTGGAATTGGCTGGTAGAGACCACTGGGGCTTGAAACGCTGGTCGTCCAAAGCGAGGATGCTTCCTTGTTGCTCTAAAAATCCATGATTTGGAAGCATCAAAAGAGCCAAATGGGAGTGAGTCAAACACATTAGGAATGGTTGTTTCGATCAGCTGGTCCCTCCGGTGACCTGGGCTGGCGGGAGCTGGGTTAGCCAGGTGCAGGGGTGAGGCATTGGGAGCGGGGTGACATCACACTGATGCGGCCGACCAGGGCTTGGCAAACATTTTCTTAAAGGAACAGCTAGTAAGTATTTAGGCTTTGTCACAGCTACTGAGCTCTCCTCTTGAGAGCAGGGTCAGCCACGGAGAGTAAGTGAACCTCTGTTCCAGGTAAACTTTATTTACACAACAGGCGGCCGCCTGATTTGGCGCCTGGGGGGCTGAAGCTCCTGGGGCCCTGCTGTGGGCCTGCTTGGATTGAGGGAGAATGTCAGTCTGTTCGAGCTACTAGTCACCCAGCAGACATGGATTTCTCACAGTCCAGGAGGCTGGAAGCCTAGGGTCAAGGTGCCTCGTCTGCTTGTGGTCTCCTTGGGTGGAAGGCGCAAGGCCCTGTGGGCACTAAGTCCTCAGAAGGCCCCCCTCCTCACTCCAGAGCATTGGGGGTTAGGATTTCAACACAGGGATTTGGGGTAGAGACACAAATATTCAGTCTGTGGCATGGAAGAAGGCCACATACTGTTGTTAATAACAAGAAAGAAACCGGTTACACAACAGAAATAGTTTGCCCAATGAGCTCACTCAGCAAATATGTCCTGAGCATGTGCGGGGTGCCAGGCCCAGCCCTGGCCCCAAGGACCTAGCTGTGACAGGGGGCAGGCCAGGCCCTCACGCTGGACCGTCTGATGAACCAGGTGTGGCAAGGACTCAGACGCGGAGGGAAATTTGAGAAGTAACACAGATGTGCATGGAAAAAAGGCTGGAGCGACACACATCAAAATGTTAGTCCTGTCTAAGCCTGGGTGCTGGAATTTTCATTTCTACGCGCTCCTACACTGTTTGTAAGTTTTCAACAAGGACCATGTGCTCTTACTTGCTGTACGACAATAAGAACAAAATGTATGAATGGGGGTCTCGTTCCCGAGTCTGGCTGCTGGAGCTCCCCCCTCCCCCGCCTTCCCGGCCCTCCTTTGTCCCCGGAGCCCTTGGGGGGCCCTGGCTCTGGAGACTCAGGAAGGCCACACTGGCCCGGGAATCACAGACCAGGGTTACAAGCAATCTGGCTTTTTCTTCTGCAGTTTCTTTCCATTAGGGCCGAGGCCCTGGGTCACCCTGGGGAGGCAGCCACATCCTGTGAGTCTGTGGCTGGAGACCCAGTGGGTCCATTAAAATCTCTGGACCGCAGACCCTTGAACTCCCAAGCTCTGAATTCTTTCCTCTCTCCCCGTAGTGGAAATGTCACCTCTTAGTGGCTGAGGTGCTGCGTGTGTGAGGACTGCACCCATGCGGACAGCTGCGTGCCCCAGGGCAGGTTCCTGAACTTTGGGGTGTCCCTTTCCTTATGCGTGAAATGGGGCTGTTGTGAGCATCGTGTGGCTTCACACCACTGCGGTCGGCATGGAGCGTGCGCGGCGGGCGGGCAGGTGCCATAGCCGTCCACGTCTGGCAGATATTTGTGTCGGTTGCAGAGGTCAAGGTGAAGTTGAGCCTGGGGGAGCCAGTCCTCAGTGGAAATCCCCCCGAGGCCTGGCAGACCAAGGAGCCAGGCAGGGAACCCCTTGAGCCTTGTGGGAGATGTGAGGCCTGCCTGCGTGGGGCTGGGTGGCCCACCTGAGCCCAGCCCCTTGCCGGTATTTCGCAGTCTGATCCCCATGGAGGTTCAGAGAGGCCAAGGAGCCTCTCCCAGGGCACAGCTGGGGCAGGTGTGCTGGAGAAGCTAGATCTGGGAGGCCTGGGGCCTGTAAGCCCAAGATTCACCACCACAAGCCCACAGGCATGGCTGGTAGGCTAGACACTGACCCCCCAGCTCTGGGAAGCTGGGGCTGGGAAAGATGCGGGGGCTAGAAGGCCCAGAGGGGCTCCAGGCTGGTCTCCACAGAGTAGCTAGCCCTAACAGCTGGTTTCCACAGCTTCTGAGGAATGACACGGAGGCTGGATGAGGCCGAGTAAGGGGGCAACGAGTGGCCTCGAATCCCTCTGTGTGTCTCACTGCCCCTTGCCTCTTTATCCAGGTGCCTGGGAAGCGAGCCCACGTGCTGGAGTCCAACTGCCTCAGCCAAGCTGCAAGGATTTTCCTTGTTTCTGCAAACGGGGCTCAGGGTCTCGGGCTTCCAGGTGCGCCTGGGGTGCAATCCCGCGCTCTTACCACCAGGGGTGCTGTCCACGCACAGGGTCTGCTGGCGGAGGCTGCTGCTAAGACCTGTCGCTGCCTGACCCGACCCACGAGCATACTTGTCCTGACCCCAGAATCTTCTTCTGCAGCCCTGGAGGCCAAGGCTGAACCCTGGTCGGCCCAAGGGCACAGACCCCGGCACACCAGAGATCCAGTCTCTGCAGCCCTGGCCCTTGAGCCCCCTTCCCCTTAAACCCTCTTCTTGTCCCCCTCCCCCTGTGGCTTTTGGCCAGGCCTGTGCCCTATTTTTAGGCAAACATTGGCAAAGAGAATGGCCGGGAGGTGGCTTCTGCCTCTGTTAGCACCTCCTCTTCCACTCAGCTCCCACTGGCAGGTGGTCTAGGGCATGGGGAGAATCTGGGGCCCCCTATGGAGCCCGGTCCCATCTGGCTGCCGGGGATAGGTGTGGCAGGGCCCCCAGGCACTGCCAGGTCAGACTCTGACACCCAGGACAGTCAGGGGCTATCCCTGCTCCTGGACTGCAAGTTCACCCCTCCCGGGGTGGGGGTGCCTGGCCCACATTAGGTGCCCATGAAATGCTTGTTGGCAGGTGCTGCTTCACCAAATGCCCCCTCCAGATGGGGTCCAAGAGAAGCAGGGAGGAACACGGGATTTGGTGCTAAACCGGGGGTCCAGTTGCCCCCCCCCAACTCGCCAAAGGTCCTGGCAGCTCTGATGCCCACTCCCAGGCCCCCCGGGGCAGCCCGGGGAGGACACTGTCCCAGGGGGCCAGGGGGCTCTGCACAGTGTGGGAGGTCGCTGCCTGGACCTACCCCAAACCTCTCGGCCCGGCTTCCCCGGGGCGGATTTGAACCCTGCCAAACCCGGCAACCCCGAGGGGCGAGGGGCGAGGGGCGAGGGGCGAGGGGCGAAGCCGCACTGAGAGCCGGCTCGCCCCTCCCGCAGAGCGCTCCTTGCCCGTGCCCCTCCCACGCCCCGCCCCTCCATGGCTCCCCCTCCTCTGCCCGCCCCCCACCCAGGCTTCAACCCTTCCACTGTCCCTCCTCTGTCCCCCCTCCCCGGCCACCCTTCTGCAGTCCCCGCGTGGTGGCGGCCGCGGGAGCCACGTGTGTCCGCGCCCGGCGGGCGTGCAGGCAAGCGTGGCCACGCCTGGCCCGGCCATCATTCCCGAGGCGGCGGCGGCGCCGACTGGGCAGCGGCCCCTCGGTGCGCCCAGCCGAGTCCCTGAGCGCCGGCGCCGGGAGCATGAGCGCGGGCTCGGAGCGCCGGGCGGCGGCGCCCCCCGGAGTGGTGCCCGCGCCCCGCGCCTCCAAGGTGGAGCTGCGTCTCAGCTGCCGGCACCTGCTGGACCGCGACCCGCTCACCAAGTCCGACCCCAGCGTGGTGCTGCGGCTGCAGTCCCAGAGCCAGTGGGTGCAGGTAGGCGCTGGGGCGGGCGCGACCCCGGTGCAGGTGCTGAGTGGGGACCGGGGGCCTGGGGCCGGGGACACAGAGACCGAGGTGGGCAGCGTGCAGGGCAGGGTCAGGGCTGGGGTTACCAGGTCGAGAGAATCCGCGCCCACGAGTTGGGGGGGTGCCGGACTGGAGGCCACAGAGAGGAGCCCCAGGTAGAGAGAGGGAGCACCAGCGTGGGGGGTGCGACCAGGGTCCCACGTGGGGCTTTAGGTGCCGGAGTGAGGCACCCCGGCTTGAGCGTGCCGGCAGGGGGCTTGACTAAGGGGCACAGAAGAGAGTGGGGGGTGCGGGAGAGAGTGGTGTGCCCAATGGGGGATGCAGGGTTGGCCTGGGCTCATGGGTCCCCCCTGGCCTGGGGGAGCCACCGCTCTGCCAGGTCCTCATCCATCAGGCAGAGGCACCCAGACCTCGGATCCTGGAGGGGGGAGCAGGGAGGGCCAGGCAGGGCTGCGGGGTTGGGGGGCACGGCTGACTGAGGCTGAGGCATTGGTGAGCTAGAGATTTGGCTCTGACCCACCTGGGGGGCTCCCAGCCTGTCGCCTGCTCTCCTCTTGTGGCAGACTCTACCGTGAGTCTCCAGAAACCCTGGGGTGACCGGGTCAGCCCAGCACTTGTGGCCAGGTTGGGACAGCTGAGGTCTGGTTTGTACACTCCACGGACCTGTTTCTCCCTTTGAGACTCTCGGGCCTGGGGGGTCGCTGGGGTGCCTGGGCAGCTGGCTGCCCCTTGCCAGCCCCGGCCCAGCCCTCCCCGTGGGCCAGTCGTGGTGACAGTCTGCATTGTGCAAAGCACTCTCTTGGTCACTGTCCCCTGTGAGATGTGTGCTTCACCTGGAAAGGTGGAGAAACGCCGGGCATGGGCAGGCGAGGTTGGGGGTTGAAGCCCAGTGGAACTGAGGGATCCCTCCCCAGGCTCCAGCACGCCCCCTGACTGGTGACAGTGCAGGGGGGCCTGGGTGGGGCGGTGGGGCAGTGGCAGAGGGTGGGTGAGGGGGAGACCCTGGTGTTCACCGCTGGGGGCCTGCGTGGGGGAGGCAGACAGGCTGGGCCCCGACCTGTGAGGGGCACAGAGTCCTGGAGGCTCCAGTGGCCAGCTTCCGCAGACCAGCTCTGCTCCCTCATGTGGTGTGACCTTGTGCTGTTCGTTGTCATCTCTTGACCGCCAGGCTTCTGCGGGTCATTGGCCTAGGAGGCGAAGGGGCCACTGCAGCCCAGTGTCTTTGTGGTGCTGGGGACATTGGGAAGATCTGTGAGGAGGGCTCACTTGGCCCGAGCATGGGTGCAGTTGTCCCGGGGGGGGCGGGTGGCCCACACAGACCCTCTGTCTGAGGGTGCGGGAGTTTGTGTACCCTGGAGGGTGGCAAACCTACCTCCCCAGGCTGGACTGTGCTTTAGGGGTGTAGGGGTGCCTAAGCTGGAGGAGAGAGCTGAACCCAGGGGGATCTGTACCCCCTGCCCCAGTCTCCCTGCCTGCCCAGCTGGGGAGAGATCTCCACTGGGGGTTTGCGCAGCCCAGGATTCTGACCCAACTGTGTTCCTGACTTGGACTGCTTTTGCACAGGATCCTTTCCCTCTCCAAGCCTCAGTTTCCCCAACTGTGATGGGGATAGAGTGGGCTGTGGTGGGCAGGATATGAGAAGCTGTGGAGAAGCTGCGGCCTGTGGCTGGCCAGGGCTGGGGCCTTTCTTTCAGGGAGGGAGGTGCCTGGGGCCCCTGGCAGCCACGCAGTAGCTGAAATCCTGAGGAATGGAGTGCGGGTTGGCTGGGGGCGGGGGCGGGGGGGGTCTTCCCAGGGCCTGGCCTGGACACAAGTCCTCCAGGAGCACGTGAGGGCAGGTGAGGGGACTCTGCGGGCCAGAGCCGGGGGCCCAGGACCCGGGGAGTGCCTGGGTGGACGCGGCTCTCCCGCGAGGTCTTCTCGGCCTGGGCTGCTTGCAGGTGGACAGAACTGAGGTGGTCAGGAGCAGCCTGCACCCCGTGTTCTCCAAGGTCTTCACGCTCGACTACTACTTTGAGGAGGTACAGAAGCTGCGCTTTGAGGTCTATGACACGCACGGACCCAGCAGTCTTGGCTGTCAGGACGATGACTTCCTTGGAGGCATGGAGTGCACCTTGGGGCAGGTGGGCACCCCGTCCCCTCGGGAGGAGAGGTCCAGGTGGGGAGGCGCCCCTGGGCCAACGCTGGTGGGAGGTGGTGGTGATGTGGGGACAGCCTGATTGGACGCCAACTGTGGTACCTCAGAGCTCCTTCTGGGACGAGCGTCCCGCTCTGCCTCTCTCCATAGTGACTTCTCTTAAAAATTCTTCATTAGTTAGCTTTAAAAGTATGTAATTTTGAGCTGGGTGATGCATTCCTCTAATTCGACATTTGGAAAGCGTGAAAGGCATGGCGTGGAACGTCTACCTCTTGCCTGTCCCCGGGCTCTGTGCTCTCACATGAGGACGTGAGTGTATATTTTTCTCTCCGTGTATGTATTTTAACAACACAAACTCCATACACCGTTCTGCAACTTGCTCTTTTCACTGTCATGACATGAGAGAGCCCTTCCACATCGGCACATAAGTGTCCTTGTTTCTCCCTGCGGCAGACGGACCAGCCCTCCGAGGCTGCGGTCACCGGAGGGACACTGTTTGCGGTCCTCGGATGATGTCCCGTCCAGTAGCTCTTCCCTTAGCAGCGCAGGAAGGGTTAGGGTACTTCCTTCTCGACTGGTGAGGGGAGCTGCTTCTTGGTCACTGACGTATAATTTACGCACAGAAGTATGCGCAGACCTTAAGGGTCGATGCTCATGAGTTTAGGTGCCCGTATACCTGACCATCGCCTGGCTCACACAGGACACTTCATCACCCCCACTGACCCCTCCTCTCCAGCCAACTCCTGCTAGCTTTGCCTGCTCTAGAATTTCCTGTTCACGAATCACACAATGTGTTCTAATTTGTGTCCGGTTTCTTTTACCCAACATGCCGTCTGCGTGACTCATCCCCATTGCTGTCTGGTTCGGAGCTGGTTTAGGGTGGATCCCTCTGCCGACCCCACTTTACAGATGACAGCACTGAGATTAAGGAGGGGCACGGCAGCAGAGCAGGATCCCCCCGGGTGGCCTCCCCCCTGCTCGTCTCGAGCATGGGAGAGAATAGTGCACACCGCAGACACATGCGTGGACACACAGGTGTTGACATGTATGCACGGACATACGTGTACACACGGGCACAGGTCCACGGGTGAGGGTACAGATGCATGCTTGGACACACACAGGAACAGGTGTGGGCGCACGCATGTCTAGGCTGACACGGCCCGCTCTCAGCTGACTCGCCAGGCCCACACGGCCATCAGGGCAGCTGCAGGCGGAGCTCGAGGTCCCGACACCGGCTGCGAATCCCAGTCCCAGGACCTGGAGCAAGTCACTGACCTCTGCCTGAACCTCCAAGCCTCAGCCATCTCAGGGGTAGTTGGGGGACCGAGAGAAGAATGCTTATCCACCTGAACCGGTTCACAAAGGAGCTAGCCCCAGCAGTGGAGCCTACGAGTGGGAACACCTGGGGAGGCTCGGGACATGCCCCCCCCCGCACCCCTTAGCCTGTGTTGACCTCCCCACATGCAGCGAACGGTCCCAGGGGCTCGGGAGCTGTCAGCTAGGCAGCGCCACGTGGGTGTGTAGGTTGGGAGTATCTGAGCGGACTCAGCTCACTGTGCCGTAGTCACCCCAGCTCCAGGAGCCCGTGGATGGTGAGGCTAGGCAAGTGCTAATGAGCATCTGGGTCACCGTCACCATGGCGACAGCTTGGTCTTGGTTGGCCAGCAATGGGTGGGGCCCTACAGCGTCATGGAGCCTTTGGTAGCTGTGAGGGGCTGTCCTCACTGAACCCGTCTACAGACCAGGGCGCCCACCCACCTGAGCGCTGCACACAGCCTCCCTGGGTCAACTCACAGGCCCCAGTTAGGGGTTTGTAGCCAAATGAGGGAAGCATCTGCGCAGGGCCAGGTGAGGGGGAGGCCCAGGTGGGCAGGAGCGGGGAGGAGCCCACAGGGAGGGCGCAGCACCAAGGATGTCCATGGGGCAGCATGGTCTGCACGAACGCACAGGAGGGTGGAGAGCTGGCTTGGTGTCTACATTCTTGCTCTCAAGCCCTCTGCCACCTTCAGGGCAGCCTGGGGGTCCAGGGTAGCGCCCAGGAACCCCCTCGGCCTCATGCCGGCCAGGGGGGGTTGAAGCACCTTGCTGCCTGGGGGCCGGGGCCAGGCCGCTGAGGAATCGGGGCTGGGTGGGGCTGGGTGTGCAATCCGTCTGGCGTGTGGGGTGCTGTTTCTGCTTCCTCCTCTCCCGACACATGGACGAGAGGGCCCCTCGTCCACAGCCGCACAGAGGGATGTCCATCAGGTGGCCGAGCATCTCCAGAGCGGGTTGGTGGGTTGGTCACTGCCGGGCCCCGAGGCTATGGGGCCCTGGGTCGTAGGATTGGCAGAGCCAGGCTGCCCAGGGGGACTGAGGGCAGGGTCCCCAGGGGACAGGAGCTGACCCCTCCCTGACTGTTCTGACTTCCAGATCGTTGCGCAGAAGAAGATGACCCGCGCTCTGCTGCTCAAGTTCGGCAGGAACGCCGGCAAGTCCACCATCACGGTGAGGCTGCCCGCCTTCCCGCCCAGCCCCTGCACCCGGCAGACCCCACCCCTTCCTCAACGCAGCTCTGAGGGGCGAGGCCCGAGGCTGCCTTGTGGTTGGGGGGGGTCCTGGTGCCTCCCCTGGACCCGGCCTGCAGAGCTCAGAGCCGTGGCTTCCCCTCCCAGGTGATCGCTGAGGACATCTCCGGGAACAATGGCTACGTGGAGCTCTCCTTCAGGGCCCGGAAGCTGGATGACAAGGTGCGTGGCGGGCGCCCGCGTGGGCCACGAGGACAGCCCACCCCCAGCGCTGCCCTCCCCGTCAGAGCCTTCCAGGGAACGAGCGCTGTGTTGAGTGAGAGGCGCTTGGAGCCTGTGGGGCCGCCAGGAGGCTGCTCCTGTCCCCGTGTCAGTCACTGGCTCTTGGCTGTGTTCTTCTGGGCGCTGGGCCCCTTCCCAAAACCTCTGTTCATGCTCGTGGCCCCGTTTGACGATGGGGACACGTGCTCAGGGAGGCTGCCATCCAGACAGTGGAGGGATTGCTCTGAGCCAGGTTCTGTCGGCTCTCACATGGGGTGGGCGCACACAGAGCAGGGGTCGGACCTGCTGGAGGGTGTGTCCTGCTGCCCCGCTGGCCAGGCAGATGGGAGCCTGGGGAGGAGGAGGGGGCCAGCAGCTGGGGCTAGCCGAGCGTATGCAGACATGGCCGGAGAGTCACAGGAAGGGTGCTGGGGAGCCAGGGAAGGCTCTGGAGGGGAGGGCAGCCTAGGGTCACTCCGAGAGGCTCTCACCCTCATTTCATAGCTAAGGGGATGGAGGCTCCGTGGGGTGAACAGCACTGCTGGGAAGCCGCAGAGTGGGGCCCGTAAGCACAGCCTCTGCCCTCCTCCAGGACCTCTTCAGCAAGTCGGACCCCTTCCTGGAGCTCTACCGGGTCAATGATGATCAGAGTGAGCAGCTGGTGTACCGGACAGAGGTGAGGGCTCCCTGCCTAGCACCTGACGTCCGTTGCAGTGCTCTGGGGACAGGAATGAGAGGACAGGGAGAGGAGCCAGGCCCGTCACTCCCCCGCGTCCTCCCAGCGCCCATCTCCTTCAACAGGGAGCCGGCCGACCAGGCGGCCAGGCCAGGCGCGTCTACCGCTAGAACCCACAGCTGTGTTTTGTCGTCCCTGCCTGCAGGTGAAATGGCATTTCAGTTAGAGGACTGAGACATCGTCTCCTTTTGAGATAAATTAATCTGAGTAAGAAAAAGAGGCTATTTAAAGAACAGGGTTCCAGGTGGCCTGGGAATGTGGCGGAAGTTCTAGAGGTGGCTCCCGGGGGAACCCGAACCAGCCCCCTCCCGCCCCCCGCCCCCAGGTGGTGAAGAACAACCTCAGCCCCGTGTGGGAGCCTTTCAAGGTGTCCCTGAGCAATCTGTGCAGCTGTGAGGAGACGCGGCCTCTGAAGGTGGGGCAGGACGGGCCAGGGGCGGGTGAGGGGAGCCTGCTGCAGGGGGATGGAGACCTCGAGGTGGGGTCCCACAGGGGCAGCGGGCTGAGGGGGCCTGGGCTCCCCAGTGCCTCATCTGGGATTATGACTCCCGCGGAAAGCACGACTTCATTGGGGAATTCTCCACCACCTTTGAGGAGATGCAGAAAGCTTTCGGGGAGGACCAGGTGAGCTGGGCCCCTCCCTCCCCCCACCTAAAAACAGGGTGGAAAGTGGGTGAACACTGGGTTCTGACCCATCTGCACAGGGTTCTCTGGAAGGAGCCACAGGAGGTAGGTAGAGCGCTGGCGCTGAGCCCGGCTGGCTCCAGAAACTTCCAGAAACTGTTATTACTGGTAAAACCCAGAGAAGACTGATGACCAGGTGGCCAGACCAGGGACATCAGTTGCCTCGTCACAGTTGGAAAAATGCTGCTCAGGGCTGGGGTCTTGAGGCCTCCCTGCTCCCTTGGGGTGGGTGTTGGGCACTGGCGCTCGGGGGGTGGGGGTCTCTGCCCATCCCTGTCCCCCAGGCCCAGTGGGACTGCGTGAATGCCAAATACAAGCAGAAGAAGCGTCATTACAAGAACTCTGGGGTGGTCATCCTGGCAGACCTGAAGGTGAGCTGCGACGCCTGCCTCACCAACAGTGGGCTGGGGGCTGGCTCCCACCTGAACTCTGCAGAGAGCCGACGGGGCAGGGGCACGCCCCTCCCTGCGAGTCTCCCCATTGTCAGATGGACCCTCAAAGGCCCCTAATCCCAGAGCCCCGGGGCTCCCTAGTCCTTGGGGGAGGGAAGTGGAAGGAATGGAGGGGAGGAGGGGTCAGAGAAGGGAAGTGGGGGGGCAGCTGGGGGTCAGGCCGCTCCAGGCAGCTCCCCTGGGGAAGGGCAGGTCCCCGGGGCTCCAGCCTCCGTGTCTGGGCGTGGGGCATCCTGGGTGGGCCCTGCCGACGCCCCTGCCTGGAAGTTCTACAGGGTTCACTCGTTCCTGGACTACATCATGGGTGGCTGTCAGATCCACTTCACGGTGAGCGCCCGGGACCCCCGCTCCCCAGCCCACCCCGTGGAGACCCTCCACCCCGCAGAGCCTGGGCAGCCTCCCCACCCGGACGGCGGGGGCCGAGGTGCATACATGTGTGTAGTCAGGCCCCTCTGCGGGGTCTGCAGGGTCCACACACCCCCTGCCCAGCTCTGGGCTCTTCCTGTGCGTAGAGGGTCCCCCATCCGGAAGGGATGGAGCCAGGACTCAGCTTCAACAGAAGCAATGACAGAAAGACGAGGAGAGAACAGAGTGACACTTGTCACCGCCAGGGACAACGCCAGAAGCCCCAAGACCGAGCGGCCGTGGCCTGGAGCTGGAGAGCCCGTGTGTCACCTGTTGCTCATTCAAGGGTGCATGGGCTCCTGTCTGTCCCCCGAGCAGCAGCAGGAGGGGCCTGAGGGAAGTGTCCCGGCAGGGGCGGCAGGCTTGAACGCTCAGACCCTGCCCAGGCAGGGTGGCAGCTGAGGCGAGTCTTGGCCTTGGGTCCCTTCCCACGGCCCCGCCCCAGGCCCAGTGACAGGCCGGTGGCACCGGGAGAGGGAGGGGCTTGTTCCTTCCTGAGGATGCAGGCTCCATCCGGTTGTGCTGGTCAGCGCTGGCCAGCGCTCGTTGCCCTCGGCCCCCACCCCAGCACAGAGCTGGGCCCTCAGACGGCCCTGGGGACTGCGCTACTTTGCACCCCTTGCCAAGCAGCTCCCCACAGCTTATTCCCTTACCTCTCAAACGGGGGTCCTGTGTGCCTAGTCCAGCCCGGGTGGGAGAGGGGCCCCCAGCTCATGAGCCGGGATCTCTGCAGGTGGCCATCGACTTCACGGCCTCCAATGGTGACCCCCGGAACAGCTGCTCTCTGCACTATATCAACCCCTTCCAGCCCAACGAGTACCTGCAGGCTCTGGTGGCCGTGGGGGAGATCTGCCAGGACTATGACAGGTGCAGCCTCTGCCCCCGGCCTCCTTGCCTTCTTGCCCCCGGCCTCCCTGCCTCCCCGCCTCCCCAGCCTCCCTGCCCCCAGCCTCCCTGCCTCCCCAGCCTCCCTGCCAGCCTCCCTGCCTCCCTGCCTCCCTGCCCCCGGCCTCCCTGCCTCCCTGCCTCCCCGCCTCCCCAGCCTCCCTGCCTCCCTGGCCTCCCTGCCTCCCTGCCTCCCTGGCTCCAGCTCAGGTTTGGGCCCAGGGGTGGGCATGATGGCTGTATCCACTGGCCCAAGGAAGGCTGGCAGTGTCCGGGGCCACGGTGGGTGGGACTTACTCCACGGGCCAGCCCCAGATGTCCCTGCGTGGCTGATCTGCATGGGCAGCCCAGCCCCCTGAGGTGGGGCTGGCCCCCACTCACATGGCCCCTTCACCCTTCCCACAAACATGGGGGGTGGCCCAATTTATAGACCAGTAAACTCTGGCCACGGAGGGGTAGACTCCTCTGTCAGGGGGTGAGGAGCAGAGAGCTGAGTCCCAAAGACAGGAGGCCGACACTTCCCAGGGTCAGGTTGTGGTCCCAGAGTTGGAGGAGTTGTGTCTGCCCCTGCCTGGAGGCTGGGTGTCTTCCTCACTGCTCAGCGCCTCAGTTTCCCCCGTGTGGTTCGGAGCAGGGCCGGGCACCCAAGAAAGTGTCAGCCTGGGCCTGGTCACACAGGGGTGGAATAGAGCCCGGCTGTCCTGGTTCTGGTGGACATCTCCCCAAAGCACACCCACCCCCAGGGAAATCAGGGACTGCTGTGTGATGGGGCCGCCTCTCTTCCAGCGACAAGAGGTTTTCTGCTTTGGGGTTTGGAGCCCGAATCCCTCCCAAGTATGAGGTAGGAGAGCCTGGGGGCCAGGACCCCACCCCCCTGCATCTGCCAGGGCCTCTGGGGCCAGGCTGCTTGTCCCCAGCAGAGGCCGTCCTGGGTTCTGGGACCCCTCAGCGGGGGCCTCTCGCTGGTGGGAACGCAGCCTCCCTGCACTTCCAGCCAGAGAGGCTGACCTTGGTCACCTAGCTCCAGTGACCCTCTGGGGGAACTGAAGAAAACTCTGTGTCCCTGTCAGGAGAAGGGGAATGAGTCTGGAAACTTCCAGTAGCAAATAGCTGAAGAACATGGTGGTGGCAGGGATTTATTGGTTTAAAGCATCTCAGACCCCCTGGCTGCAGGGGCTGAAGGACTAGTCCGCCTGCCCTCTCTCCCAGGTGACTCCCTCCATGAGGCTCTGTCCACGTGGGGGCCCCAGGGGCTGCAAACCTACCTCTCCCGGGAGGTGGGGGCTGGGGGTCCTGGAGGGGTAGCCCAGCTGACAGTCCCTCTGTGCCCACCCAGGTGTCCCATGACTTTGCCATCAACTTCAACCCTGAGGACGATGAGTGTGAAGGTAGGGGCCTGAGGCAGGCCTGGGTGGGGGTGCCCCCGGGCCGGGCTCACCCTCCTTCCCCCACAGGAATCCAGGGTGTGGTGGAGGCCTACCAGAACTGCCTGCCCAGGGTCCAGCTCTACGGTCCCACCAACGTGGCCCCCATCATTTCCAAGGTGGCCCGCATGGCCGCGGCCGAGGAACACACTGGGGAGGCCTCCGTAGGTACCTGGGGCAGGTGGCAAGGTGGGGCCGGGGTGCATGAGAAGGTGGTGCGTGCCGCTGGGGGGCCAGGTATGGGCCGCAGTGTGTGAGGGGGGCATGGTGGTCAGGGAGGCGCAGGCCTGGGGGTACTGGGGGATGCAGGGGGGCCCCAAAGCCCCCCTAGAGGCACAGGTATAACTCTCACCTGGCGGGGTCACACGCCCTGCAGGCTGATTTGCCCAGTCCCTTCCCAACAGGCTGTTTGTTGTTCTGCCGTGCGCATATTATTTTGTTTGTATGTCTTTTTATTTTTCACAAATAATATTGTGCTGAAAGTTGCATTCTGCTTTACTTTTTCTTTTTTCTTTTTTTTTAGATTTTGTTTATTTATGAGAGAGAGAGAGAGAGCATGAGTGTGTGGGGGGGGTCAGAGGGAGAAGCAGGCTCCCCACTGAGCAAGGAGCCCGATTCAGGACTCGATCCCAGGACCCTGGGACCATGACCTGAGTGGAAGGCAGACGCTTCCCCAACTGAGACACCCAGGTGCCCCTGATTTCCTTTTTCAACATGTTTGTAGATCTGTTTGTGCTGCTGTATGCACTGCTGGTCTGTTGCTTTACCTTTTTATTCTGTAAAAGACATCACATTTGCAGAAGAATGCTCCATCCCTCACCTGAGGTCACTGACTTCTTTCCGCGTTTCCTCCCTCCCCCCTCTTCCCCTCCCCCTTTCCATATGATTTTGAAGCAAGCCCAGACACATAACTTCGTCTGTAAATATCAGTATAAACCTCTCGAAGAGAGAAAAGAGAGCCACAGTGCCATGACCACACCTAAAACACGACAGTAATTCCCTCCGTATTGAAATGCCAGTATCTAAATATGAAACATCTGGGTAGCACACATGTCCCGCTGGATGGTTCGTGTCCCATCCCGGTGGCTTCTATGGCAGAACGGGGGTGAAATGGCCCCCCTGTGATTGTGGACGTGTCCTCCGCCTTCCCTTGCTGATGGAGGGGGAGTCCTATAGGGTCTCCGGGTCTCGAGGCTGCTGACTGTGCCCCGTGGGGGCATTCACCACATTCTTGTCTTCTGATTCGACTTTCCCAGGAGGTGGTGGGAGTGTCCCCAGGAGGCACGCATGTCTGCCTCTGTCCTCCTTGGTGCTCAGAGCCTCCATCTCTGCCAAGATGCTTCACAGGGGCTTCTGTGGGTTGCTAGATTGCTTCCCGTGGAACAGTAGTGGCGCTGATACGGTGGGGAGGCACTCGGCGTAACCTGGGACCCACTTCTCAGTGCACCTGGTCTTCCCCTGCCTGTCTCTTTCGTCCCGAGGGAAAGTGGTGTCACTCGCTCCCAAGTCACACGTGGCTTCCTGGGGCCAGACCACAGTCACCCACACAGTGCTGGGAGGCCCCGTGCTCACGGCGACGGGGCTCAGTGTTTGAGACCTAGTTTAGGGGCAGGAGGTGGGCATGCGGGCTTTCCTGAGGAGGGGCTATGTCCACGGGGCTCAGAGCTGGGTCCAGCCGGGGGTCCTCAGACTGCCCAGCACACGGTCAGTCCTCCCATGGATCTGGGGCTCTGGGGAGGAGGAGGGCAGGGGGCCTCTTGGCAACGATGACCCTGTTGGTGATGCCATTGGTCTTTCCCTCACGTGGTGTCACAGTGTTTGTGCCCACTGGGCTAGGGTCTTCTTTTCTCTCCTTTATGTTTTCTCTTGTCCAGGTTTTTAGTACTGATTTTTAGTAGTTCTCTTTTGGGGGATTTTTATGTTTGTTTTGTTTTTTAAAGATGTTATTTTTTAAGTAATCTCTACACCCAATGTGGGGCTTGAACTCACGACCCTGAGATCAAGAGTTGCGTGCCTGAACCAGCCAGCTGCCCTGTTTGTTTTGTTTTTTGAGAGAGAGAGAGAGAGAGTGGTGGGGGGGAGGGGCAGAGGGAGAGAGAGAATCTCCAGCAGACTCCACGCCCAGCACAGACCCTGACGCGGGGCTCGATCTCACACCCCTGAGATCATGACCTGAGCCAAAATCAAGAGTTAGATGTTTAATTGACTGAACCACTCAGGTGCCACAACCCCTGTTTTTTTTGTTTATTAACAAGGGAAATGGACTTTTATTTGAAACAAGTCCCAGTCTGTCTTTGTGCTGATGTGCTGAGCACCTAGCCAGGCTGGGCCAGAGGGTGTCCTCTCTAAATTGTTCCTTGGATCCCAGGGTCCCTTTAGGGTGTGGGAGGTCCTGTCCTCTGGCAGCCCACAGGACCCTCCTTCTCGGGCCTCGGACGTGGGTTCGGACCCAGGCTCCACCAGCCTCAGCCTCTCCATCTGTACGATGGGTTGGGAGATGGGCGGACGCATCCAGCCACAGTAAATGAGCTCATGATGTCCTTTGGTTGTGATGAACTACACTTTAGCAACAATTTCAGAAAAGCCTGAACACCCTCAGCTCGGGATGCCCGCAGTGGCTCCCAGGCTGTCTGGGGGAGGGGAGCTGCTTGGGGGACTTGCGGTTGCCTGGGTGGTAGAAGCGGCCCTCAAGGGTCCCCAGACAACCCCTGAGGGCCTGAGGAAGGGGTGGGGGACCCGTGCCCACTCTTTCCCTGTGTCCCCAGCAATACTACATTCTGCTGGTCCTGACCGATGGTGTGGTGACCGACATGGCTGATACACGGGAGGCCATCGTGCGTGCCTCCCACCTGCCCATGTCCATCATCATCGTGGGGGTGGGCAACGCCGACTTCACGGATATGCAGACCCTGGACGGGGACGACGGCATCCTGCGCTCCCCGCGGGGCGAGCCAGCTCTCCGAGACATTGTGCAGTTCGTGCCCTTCCGGGAGCTCAAGAGCGTGAGTGCATGTGGGGGGGGGGGGTGCGGGGGCGGTCCAGGGCCTTCCCCCCAGGCTCCCAGGGAGGAGCAGGACTTGAACTGCTCTCAAGCATCTAGAAACCTTCCTATTTTGAAAATATCGAACCTACACACAGGAGAGAAGGCAGCACAGTGGGCTCCCCAGGCACTTTCAGACCCTTTGTGAGACACAGGAAGGAAATTCACAACCGGTGGACACTCACAGGGCTTTTTGGGGGGGCGCCCACCTCCTTCCTGCCTCACACCTGCCCTGTGTGCCTGGAGGGGGGCGGGGCCACGTGGGTGCAGGTGCCATTCAGGCTGGGGCCCCCTTCAGCAGTGGGCCACTGCAGCCTCGCATCCTCGGTTCTACACCCCGTACTAAGGCTCCCCTGGCCGCCAGGAGACTTACTGGTCAGCTGCGGGACACCCTCTACTAGAGGGTGGGGGCCGCAGCGCCAGAGGATGAGGCTGGGGTGCGATCGGCTGGGCGGCCAGAGGGTCGGGAGGCCCCCAGCTGTAACCACGCTGTCCCCGCTCCGAAGGCGTCCCCGGCAGCGCTGGCCAAGTGCGTGCTGGCCGAGGTGCCCAGGCAGCTGGTGGAGTACTACAGCTACAAGGAGCTGCCCCCAAGAGGCGACAGCACCCACGCCCGAGAGGCCGGCCCCCCCGAGAGGGCCGGGCAGCCGGGAGTGCGGCCAGTCTCTGTCTCCAGCACCCTCGAGGTCCCTTAGGCCCCCCGCCTTCCAGAGCCCTCCTGTGCCCACCCGGCCCGCCCCTGTCGTCCTGTGAGCCTGCTGCCTAGGCCAGCCGTCCGGGACCCCCAAGGCTGAAGGATGAACAAATCCAGGCCTGAAACAGGAGCTGAAGGTGTGGGGGTGCTGGTGGTAGCCCCCCATGCCTGGCCCTGCCTCCACCAGGCCGGTGTAGAATGGTGGGGGGCACGGACTCCTGAGAGAGCAGGAGGCCTGGCAGCTCAGCCCCAAATGAAGGGAAGTTTAGGGATTGGGGGATTTCTGCTTTGCACCCGATCTTCACTGAGGAGGGGCCCGCAGGCTGCCTTCCAGTTGTGGAGAAAACCCCAAGATGCCCCCAGACCCCTGATCCACAGTCAAGATTCCTCTTTGCTCCCTGCCTTCCTCTCTGCTCACTCCCACCTCCGCACCCAGGTTTATGGGGTCTGCAGGTGGGGGCTGAGCATAATAAAGTGTCATCCTGTCCTCGAAGCAGTTTGTGCATTTACTGCCCCCATTCTTGCCTCCCCAGCCCTGCAGCAGAGGACTGCACCCCTCGGGAGGGGTGGACAGGCGAGTCGGGCCCCCTCCCATCCCCACACTGGGACAGGGAGTCTGCTAGACTCAGGCCCTCGGGGTCCTTCCTGGACGGAAAGGAAGGGCCCTTTCAGGAACACAAGGGTGTCAGAGGCAATACTCCACCCAAGGAAGGGCCAGAGGATGCAGCAGCTGCCCCCATACCCTGAGTGGCCTCTCCTTGGCCTTCAGTGATCCGCTGCTCGAAATCTGCATCAGCCAGGCTCAGGTGGGGAGAGGCTGTCTGGCAGGAACCCAGGGGCCTTTAACCAGCAACTCAGCTTTACAAGGACCTACCATGCTATACGCTGTCAGGGGAGGGAGCACCACCTGCCAAAGCCTCCCAGCCCTGTGGGGGTGGGTTTCTGATTGAGATTTCCCCTGAAACATCTTGTCTGGGAAAAACAAATTGTCCTGACCCTGATTCTAGGCCCTCCCATCCACTCGCTCATCCATCCATTCATCCACACATCTATCCATCCAACCTTCCCTCCCTCCATCCATCCACCTATATCCATCCATTCATCTACCTGTCCACCTGTCCATCCATCCACCCTTCCCTCCTTCCCTCCATCCACTGGTCCGTCCATCCATCCAACCATCCATCCATCCATCCATCCATCCATCCATCCAATCACCCTTCCATCCATCCATCCATCCATCCATCCATCCATCCATCCAATCACCCTTCCATCCATCCATCCATCCATCCATCCATCCATCCATCCATCCATCCATCTATCCATTCATTCACCCATCCATCCATCCATCCACCCCCACCCACCTATCCATCCATCCACCCTTCCCTCCCTCCATCTATCCATCCACCTAATCCATCCATCCATCCACCCACCCACCCATCCATCCATCCATCCACCTATCCATCCATCCATCCACCCCCCCCCCACTCTGGAGGTCTATTTTTAGCTCCTGATTCATCTCCTGTTAGGCAAGGATAATGGGCATTGCCATGGTAACCTAGCTACTGCTGAATTCTGGAAGAGCCAATGTTGGTCTCTTTGGGGATGGAGAGGACAAAAGAGAAACAGCCCCCTCCATTCACACTGGGAGGCAGCAGGGTTCTAAGATGGGAGGCTGTGTCAGCTCTGTCCTGACCCTGCCACCAAGTCATGGATGACCAGGCCCCAATTTCAGTGGTAGAAAGCCTCAGACCGTTCTGGGTTCCATTCAGGGGTGAAGCCAAGGGAATTGGTCAGTTAAGATGCCAGCAGGGGCAGAAGACACAAAGAGAGCTAAGAAGAATGGGAGGGGGTTTATGCAGGGGCTGAGGGCAGCAGTGGTAGGCCTGGGAAGCAGCTCTGGGCCAGGGCAGGGCAAGGAGCCTGATGAGCTGGCAGTGGAATAAGGGTCTCTTTTTGGAGCTGTTGCCTTAGCAAGGATGTAGCCACTCCCAGAACGTGTGAATCAGAGAGGGAGCAGAGGTGTGAGGCCCCCACCTCTATCCTCCACCCTTTCCCTCTGCCCTTTCTCCTTGGGCCAGCAGGAAGCTGGGAGCAGTCAGGCGCAGCCTACAGAGGATGCTCTCCTGGACTGGAAGGAAACAGGAGGCTGTGGGCTTGGGGCCTGGCCAGTAGGCAGGCTCAGCTGGGCACACGCAGGTGTGGGGGGAGCTGCTGGGAGAGGTGGGGTAGGCACGGGGTCACCAGCTCAGCTGTCGTGATATGGCGACTGCTCCAAGTCAGAACCCAACCTCTGCCCGGGCCTGAGCTGGCCAGTGAGACTGGGACTTTTGTTGACCTCTGGCTTTTCCTTGAGTTGCTGAGCTGGTGGCATGGGAGCCAGGAGCAACTGGTGACCCCTCTGCCACCATGTGGGCTGGGATTGCCTGGGAATGAGCCAGAGAAATGGCACTGGGAAGTGCCTAGTTCTGAGCCCTGAGCTAAGTAAGACTGGACTGCTGAGGGAGCCGAAAATTCCCTCTCTACCCAGACCAACTGGTGGTGGGTTTCCATCACTTGCCACCCAAAAAGCCTGGCCTGGAGGGATGGCAAATACTCCCATTTCATAGATAAGAAAAGCAAGGCTCAGAACAGTTAAATCACTTGCCCAGGATCACACAACTGGCCAGTGGCCGAAGCGGGACCCACTGGCCCCATGCAATTCCAGGATTTATGTCTTTTGCTAGAACACCTTCCATCAAGGGCTATGATCTGTCTGGCTCCAGGCTCCAGACAGGCTTCCCGGGAGGGGACTAGGACCAGGCAGCCAGAAATCCACCAGCTGTCACAGTGACCTGCAGAGCATCACTCTTGCTCATACGGCACAGGGCTCAGGGTTTCTCAGCAATCAGGACCAGAGAGTGTGGACCGGGGCCTCCCTGGCAGGAGCCACCCTGGGATTGACTCACTTCAAAAATTGCCCCCAGCACACTTTGGAGTGGCCCCCTTGTCAGAGGATGGATTTGGGATTTGCAGACAGCGAATGTGCTTTCGGTGGCCAGCTGCGTAAGCCCTGGTCCAGAGTCAGACTGAACACCTGGCTCCAGCTTCCAGTAACTGCGTGACCTTGGACAAGTCACCTCCTGGTCTGCCACCTGGGAGTATAACAGCTTTAAGTCATGGCCCCACTTCCTTGGCAACCTCCTTCTCCTAGAACCTGGGAATGCTTAGGGTCCTACAGGACCCTCTGTTTGGTCATGAAAATGCTACTCCACTGCTTTGCTCACTTAAGACTCTGGCTCTTGGGACCCAGTGGCCAAGCTGCAAAGAAACTGAAGCTGTCCATGCAGCCGAGGCCCCAGCTGTCTGGCCAGGTGTGTGTGACGCCATGTGAGGGGTCCTCCAGCCCGGCTGAGACCCTGACTGCATCCTCAGGAGAGGGCCTGAGCCAGATCCCCTCGGCTGATCCTCTCCGGTATCCCTGCCCCACAGAAATGGTATGAATTCCTCCAGGTTTGCTGTTGTTCTAAGCCACCAAGTTTTGGTATAATTTGTCATGCAGTAGGTAACTGATACATCCTCTTCAAAAGGGTCTTGTGAGGACTGAATGGGTGGTGCCCAGGGCCTAGCATAAAATACAGTTGGGTAAATAAATACCAGTTTTCCAAGGAGCATGGCTTCTCTTTCCTGTCCTGAGGGAGGACTGTGCCAAAGCTGCGCCTCTTGTTAACTTGCCCCCGGCCCTGCTGGCCATCCGCCGCCCCCCCAGAGCCCAGGCTGGGCCTCGGAGGCACGGACTCTGGGTCAGGGTCCCCCACCTGAGGGCCTGCCCCCCCAGTCTCAGAGTCAGCCACGCTGGGGGGAGGAACAGGGGCAGCTGGGCATCGAGGCTGTTCTTTCTTCCTTGCAGGCAGGCAACTGTGACTAAGTACTCCTAATTGGTGCGGGGGCGGGAGCAGGGCTGTCAGACGCAGCACAGGGGGGCCCGTGGGCGAGACCGGCTTCCGTGTTCCCCATCCGTTGCCCCCTCCCCCTGCCACTGCACTGATGCCTGCCCCTGAGCAAGGGCACCTGGGACCCTTGCCTGGCACGGACCCTCTTCCTCCCATTAAGGCCCACAGCGACCGCGGAACCCCGTGCACGGAGGCCTCCAGTGTCCCAGGTCCTCACCCCGCTTCGCTCCAGCTGCGCTGCACTGAGTCTCCCCAAATCCCCGCCCCAACCTCCCCTCCCAGGTCGGCCTCCTGTGAGCACCATTTCCCAGAAGGGGAAGGAGCTCAGAGAAATTAAGCCACTTGGCCCAGTAAGCACAGCTGGAGGGGGGGGCCTGCGTGTCCTGAGCGGGGCCTTGCAGCCAGGTTCTGAGGACTCAAAGCCCAGAGCCAGAGCCGCCAGGCCTCGGCTGGGGGCGTGTGTGCGCGACCGCACAGGGGTGGGGTGGGGGCTGCACGTCCGCACGGGGGTGGGGGGCGTGGGGGACTGCACGTCCGCACGGGGGTGGGGTGGGGGCTGCACGTCCGCACGGGGGTGGGGTGGGGGCTGCACGTCCGCACGGGGGTGGGGTGGGGGCTGCACGTCCGCACGGGGGTGGGGGGCGTGGGGGGCTGCACGTCCGCACGGGGGTGGGGTGGGGGGACTTTCAGGCCTGGGGACACCTGGAAGAAGCAGGGACAGGGCAGAGTCGAAGTCCCACTTCCCTTGGGGGGGGCAGAGGGAGGGCCACCTCGGGAGCACCAGCTCTGCTGACCTCAGGTCCCCTCTGAGGCAGGACCACCCCCACCTTGCAGATGGATACTGGGCATGCGCTGTGCTGAGTCCTCAGCGAGCACTGGATGAACGAATGCGAATGTGCCCCCCCCGAGGGCCATGCCTGAGCCCTCCTCAGCATTGGGGAGTGTCTGACCCCACAAGGCCCTACCCCTCATCTCATGCTCCAGGAGTCCCCATCCAGCTTGGTCCAAACTAAGCACTGAGTGACATCGACTCTGGCCACAGGAGGCCCCGCCCTGACCCTGTGGGCCCTTTCTGCCCATCCCCTGCTCCCAGGTAGGCTGCAGGGCTGCTCCTGTCCCTCCCGGCCAGGGCTGGAGAAGGTGTCTCTAGTCTAGTGTTTGCACACCTCATGTTCTCAGGGATGTTCCGGTCAACACTGAGTGTTGTGAGCAGGGCACCAGGGCCGTCACCACTCGGCCATCAGCCCACACAGCTTGGTCTGGCCAGCTCCATGTAGCTTCTGGCGAGACACAGAAGGAGGCTGGTGTGGCCTGCCCGAGCGCGACGGGGAGGTCAAAGAGCGGCTTCCATAAAGCAGCTGAGGACAAAGAGGCCCCACGCGCGCAGCCCCCTACGCGCCGCCCCCCCCGTGCGGACGTGCAGCCCCCACCCACCCCCGTGCGGACGTGCAGGCCCCCACGCCCCCCACCCCCGTGCGGACGTGCAGCCCCCACCCACCCCCGTGCGGACGTGCAGCCCCCCCACGCCCCCCCACCCCCGTGCGGGCGTGCAGCCCCCACCCCACCCCTGTGCGGACGTGCAGCCCCCCCACGCCCCCCACCCCCGTGCGGACGTGCAGCCCCCACGCCCCCCACCCCCGTGCGGACGTGCAGCCCCCACCCACCCCCGTGCGGACGTGCAGCCCCCTACGCCCCCCACCCCCGTGCGGGCGTGCAGCCCTCCACGCCCCCCATCCCCATGCGGACGTGCAGCCCCCACCCAACCCCGTGCGGACGTGCAGCCCCCCACGCTCCCCACCCCCATGCGGACGTGCAGCCCCCACCCCACCCCCGTGCGGACGTGCAGCCCCCCACGCCCCCCACCCCCGTGCGGACGTGCAGCCCCCACCCAACCCCGTGCGGACGTGCAGCCCCCCACGCCCCCCACCCCCGTGCGGACGTGCAGCCCCCACCCCACCCCCGTGCGGACGTGCAGCCCCCCACCCCCGTGCGGACGTGCACACACGCCCCCAGCCGAGGCCTGGCGGCTCTGGCTCTGGGCTTTGAGTCCTCAGAACCTGGCTGCAAGGCCCCGCTCAGGACACGCAGGCCCCCCCCCTCCAGCTGTGCTTACTGGGCCAAATGGCTTAATTTCTCTGAGCTCCTTCCCCTTCTGGGAAATGGTGCTCACAGGAGGCCGACCTGGGAGGGGAGGTTGGGGCGGGGATTTGGGGGGACTCAGTGCAGCGCAGCTGGAGCCAAGCGGGGTGAGGCTGGGACACTGGAGGCCTCCGTGCACGGGGTTCCGCGGTCGCTGTGGGCCTTAATGGGAGGAAGAGGGTCCGTGCCAGGCAAGGGTCCCAGGTGCCCTTGCACCTGTGAGCCAACCTGCAGGGCAGCCAGGGAGCGGAGACAGCTCAGAAGGCTGTCAGTAGGAGAACGGAGCCATGAGTTGTGGAAAATCCACACAGTGCCGCTCTAGGAGCAGTTAGAGAACCCTGAGACCCTTAGTAAGACTGGGCAAAGAAGGCGGACATGAGGCAATTCCTACTGTGTGTGGTGCATTTACATGAAGTTCAGGGACGGGGGGTATGAGTGCTGGGAGCACGGGAACGACACGTCTTGTTCTGGGCAGTGTGTGTATATTTGTGTATGGAGGTTACATGTAAGGGGCGAGGTGCCTCTCCCTGACGGCCACGGCCTGACCCTGGGTGCCTGGCGGCCCCACCCCACCCCTCCAAGGCCCTGTCGGCCAGGTCACTGGACCCGCAGAGCCTGGACGGGAATCTATACTTCAGTTGTCCCCTGGGAACTTGGGGGAAAAGCCAGCGGTGGGTGCATTCCTGGCGATTCCAGGATGCCCTCCCGCCCGAAGCTTTGTGACAGCTCCCGGAGGCCTGGGGCCCCTGTGGGGACATCCTGGCCAGTCCTGGGCCCACCCTGACGGTCGGCGGAAGACCAGGGCCACGGTAGCTCCTGTCTCTTGTGGCCCCTCATGCAGACAGCCGTGTCAGCACGAGGGGCGCACCCCTGGCAGCGTTCCGACCCTGGGTTTGTGGGGTGTTGATTATAGCCTCTCGGGGCCTTAGCCCTTCATTCTGGGAGAGGCTGTGGGGCAGCGACGCGCTCTTGGCTCTGCTCCATTTCCTCCTGATGGGCACACTGGTGGTGACTCCCGCCTCCCTGCACCCCCGTTCCCTGTCTGTGGGGCGAGTGTGCTACCCCTGCGCTCCCCAGCGTTGATAAGATCGTGTGCTCTGAGCCTCTGGGCCAGGAGCTGGTGCACAGCAGCCAGCCCCCCAGCCCCACGGCTCCTCCAGGCTGATGCTGTATGTCGGCCCCACGGCTTACAGGGGACGGTGTCACAGCGCTGTTTAAGGCCCCCGTGTGGGGGGCTTCACGTGGCAGCCTGAGGACACTCGCGCCCTCGTCCCCCACTCACCTGCAGCAACAGCACCAGGAGGTGATGAGCGGAAGGACCCGGAAACTGCCCCGACATGGTAAGTTACATCTGCTCAAGTATCGTATTGAAATGTAAAGAGTCCACAAATGGGCTTTGGTCTGACACCCTGTTTGCTCGCACCAGACACTCCCCGCCCCACTCTGCTCCAGGGATGGACTCAGGAGCCCAGTCAACACTCCCTGGAGTACTGCCCTTGGGAAGGGGCCTGTTCTCGTAACAGCAGGGGCTGCCGAATGGTCTCCGCGGTGAGTCACCACCAGCATCGCCTCACGGAACGGCCTCCGCCGTGTGCGGCGAGAACATTTAAGATCGACTCTCTCAGCGGCTTTCCGGGGGTGCATGCAGCTCTTTACCCAGAGGTGGGACTGCTGGATCTTATGGTATTTCTGTGTATTTCTCGAGGCCCCTCCATACTGTTTTCCAGAATGGCTGCACCAGTTTGCACTCCCACCAACAATGCACAAGGGTCCCCTTTCTCCACATCCTCAAAACACTCATTATTTCTACTTTTTTTAGGATGATGACCATCCTAATAGGTGTGAGATGGAACCTCACTGGTTTTGATTTGCACTTCCCTGTTGTCTGGTGATGTTGAGCATCTTTTCATGTACCTGTGGGCCTTTCATAGATCTTCTTTGGAGGAATTTCCATCCAGATCCTTTGTCCATTTTTAAATTGCATTATTTGTTTTTTTGCCATTTAGTTGTATGAGTTCTTTATATATTTTGTATACTAGCCCCTCATCAGATAGATGGTTTGCAAATATTTTTTCCCCTTTTGTATGTTGTTTTTTAATTTTGTTAATTGTTTCTTTCACTGTGCAGAAGCTTTTTAGTTGGATGTGGTCCCACTGTTTATTTTTGCTTTTATTGCCTGGGCTTTTGATGTCAGATCCAAAAAATTGTTGCCAAGACTGATGTCAAGGAGATTTTCTCCTCCATTTTCTTCTATGAATTCTTTGGTTTCAGGTCTTACCAGTCTTTAATCCATTTTGAGTTAATTTTTGTGAGCAGTGTTAGTTGGGTTCCAGTTTCATTCTTCTGCATGTGGCTATCCAGTGTTCCCAAGACCATTTAGGCAAGAGTTTGTCTGTCCCCATTATGCTCCCTCGTCAAATATTGACTGTATATACATCGGTTTATTTCTGGGCTCTTAATTCTGTTGCATTCATCTATGTGTCTGTTTTCATGCCGATATCAGACAGTTTGATGACTAGAGCTTTGTAGTACAGTTTGAAATCAGGACGTGTGGTGCCTCCAGCTTTGTTTTTCCTTCTCAGGGTTGCTGTGGTTATTCAGGACTTTCCTGGTTCCATATGATTTCATTTATTTATTTTTAAGATTTTATTTATTTATTTGTCAGAGAGAGAGAGAGCACAAGCAGGGGGAACGGCAGGCAGGGGGAGAAGCAGGCTCCCTACCAAGCAAGGAGCTTGATGTACTCCTTGGACCAGGACCCCGAGATCATGACTTGAGCTGAAGGCAGATGCTTAACGACTGAGCCACCCAGGCATCCCAAATTTTATTTATTTATTTTTAAAGATTTTATTTATTTATTTATTTGACAGAGCACAAGCAGGGGCAGAGGGAGAGGGAGAAGCAGGCTCCCCACTGAGCAGGGAGCCCGATTTGGGACTTGATCCCAGGACCCCGAGATCATGACCCAAGCCAAAGGCAGATGCTTCATCAACTGAGCCACCCAGGGCACAGCTCCATATGAATTTTAGGATTGCTTTTTCTATGTTTGTGAAAAACGTCTTTGGGGTTTTGATGGGAATTGCATTGAACCTGTAGATGGCTTGTGTAGGATGGACATCTGAACAGTATTACTTCTTCTAAACCATGAACGTGGGATGTATTTCCATTTCTCTGTGTCTTCTATTACTTTCATCAACATCTCATAGTTTTCAGTGGTAACATGGCACTCAGAGATACCACCCCTAGTTCCCAGAACTTGTGAATGAAGGTAGTACATTACCTGCCGCAAAGAGATCCAGGTGGGCCCAATCAAATCATGCAAGCCCTTAAGAG